TTATTGTAGGCCATTGCTTTCTACATGTTTCCAAGAGCCATGCCTGAAGTGCATTAGAACTAGGTGGAGGGACACTTGCCAGGGTGTTAAGTCCTGTGTCATGAACAGAGCTCTTCCACTGATACGCTCTCCCTTTTTCCTTCTCTTCTCCTTGATCCCAGACCCTCGGGATCTGCTGTGGGCAAACTCCTGGTTTCTGCTGATGAGGTGTCTGGGTCCTGGTTCACGTTTCTCTCTCCCCTTAGCAGTCCCACGCTGAGATGTAATCCTAGGAGGGGAAGTAGGAGCAGCTCCTGAGGAGGCACTGTAAGGTTCCTGCCTCATTTGACTCCTTCGTAGTCTTCAGGAAAGGGGCTGGAGGGCTGGGCCCCTTGGGGAGGCCCAGAGCTTACTCTTCTTGATAGATCTGCTGAGACAGCCCCATTCCAAGCCTCAGGGCCCCCTTCTCCCTATCAGCACCCTGACCTTGGCGTGAGATTTGCCAAGGTGGAGAATTCTACCTTTTCACAAGTTCTGCTCCTCTCATCCTGACCTCCCAAGCTTCACTGGCCCCGCAGCTGTAGGAGGAGATGTGCATAACCCCACATCCCTTACAGTGACCACTGCCGCTGTATCTATGGAATGCCAGAGACATGGGTGAAGTGCAGCTCATTTCCCTCCCTCTGGTCCATCCCAGCTCCGCAGAGCGGAAGCCTTCAGGACTGCACAGCTCCAAAACTCTACCCACCACCAGTGACGTGGTCCTTGAGGCCACGCAGCTAGCAGGTGGTTCAACTTTAGCAATCTCAGTCTTAGAGTCAGGTTCTAACTGTTTTAGGACACGTTTCCCAGAAGCAAGCCTGAGACAGGGATTTTTGTGAAATCAGTTCATTAAGGAAATACTGTCCGGAGGCATCTACAAAAAAGAGGGGGGAGAAGGACAGGGAGGTAAGCCAGTTCTTACCCTCTTTTCTCCTGGCTTCAAACTCACCCTCTGGGGCCTGCTCGATGCCCTGCTCTGCCAGCAGGAGTGCGTCAGGCAGGAGGCACCAGGAGGACTGCACGGCTGGAGGAGGAACGAACTCTTATCTCCTGTTTCCTGTTCCTACTCCCTCCACACCTCCTTTATCCCGGAAGTAAGTTCGTTCCCGAAGTAGCAGCCAAACCCGGTTTGGATTCTTCCCAGCACCCACGGAACCAGCTCCGTCACGGCTCATCTGAGACACCAGGGCAAGCTGCCTGAGGCCCGGCCCCGCGGGACCCTCCCCTGAGCTCAGAGATGTCCTTTCTAGCCCAGTGGCCCTCTTTTGCGGAGACCTACTTTTAAGCTCCATAAAGGCCCTCTCCAAGCCTCTAACCTTTAATCAAACCAGCCTCCTCCCTTGGTTCCTCAGCCCCGTGGCGGGAACTGCTTTCTGTGTTCCCTTTCTGCCTTCTCAATGGCCGCGTTAACAACTCTTCATATCCTGTTCACCATTTTTCATTAAATAGCCTGTTAAAATAACGAACAGGTTTCCCCCAGTTTTATTGAGGTATAACTGACAAAAATAGTGTGTATTGAGAGTGCACCGTGTGATATACTGTACCTATACATTGCAAAATGATCGCCACAATCAAGCTAATGAATACACTGGTTAGCTCGCGTGGTTAGCTTGTGTGTGTGGTGAGAACACATGATCTCACAGCAAATTTCAAGTATACCATATAGGATCCCTAACCGTAGTCACCAAGCTGTGCATTAGATCCTCGAAACTTATTTATCTTACAACTAAAAGTTGTGCTCCTTTACCAGCCTCTCTTCCCTTACCCCGATCCCCCAATGGATGGGCTTTCTGACTGCTGTCTGGACCCTGATTCGGTAACGTATTTGGGCTTGAACGCAGTGCTGAGCTCCTTGCCAGTGATAAACTGGGTGCAGGAATTCATGCATCACCGTCAGTCCACCTGTCACTGGGTTACGATGAAGTGCTGACTGCAGCGGTGCTCTGGAGGACCACGTGGCTGCTGTCCTCGAGCACTGTGGCAGTAAGAGTGACTGCAAGGACTGTGGCACCCAAAGGATTCTTCTGGGTGCACTGATTTGCTTACAGAAAGAAGATAAGATCAAGCCTTCAAACTTTCAAGTCACGTTCAGAGACCCAGGGACCTTGTTTGGCAGCCATAAAATAATCTGGCTGCAGGGCTGACACGGCTAAAGGTCAAACACATAGTTTGAATTATGCATCGGCTCTCGTGATCACCTTCGTTGTGTATGGTGAGAACACTTTTCAATTTCAAGTATACAATACAGTATTACCGATAGTCACCAACCAACTCATTATTTTAAAGCAAACTGGTTATCATATTATTTAATCTCTAAATAATTGTGTGTGTATAAAAGATAAGGATTAATATACATATATATACGTAGCCACAATACAATGAACATACATAGATAAATGAACAATTTTTCCTTTCTATCAACAAGCAGCAGCATAGATAGTTACTAAAGTAATGTAAGGCTGCAACTGCAAACCTTTCCTCTGACTGAAAGCATGACCCCTTTAATCAGGAAATAGTGTCTCGCCATCTTCAATTTACTTGCATCTGGACAACCTCCACGAACGAAGCATTAATTTGCTTCTTCCCCCGAAGCAAGTAGACCAACAACAAACAAACTCCATCTCCCATTTTCCCACCTTCTTGGGAAAGCTCTAAAACCCAACACCCAGTCCTTTCTAACCCGGATGAGACTCGAACCCACAACCCCTGGCTGAGGAGGCCAATGCCTTTTATTAGGCCACCGTGCAGAGGGACTGTAGCAGTGGTCTTAGTTCAGTCTCGCTGCCACATCTCCGTGGCTCCTGCAGGTTGCACACATCTCCGGGCTCTGCCCCGGCCTCCCTCCGGCCTCCCATTCCCGCAGCCGGTCAGCGCTCCCGCTCACAAAGTGCCAGCTCCTGAGCGTCCTCAGACCCCGAAAAGGCGCACTTGGTTGGAGCCCAGAGACCCAGGACAGCAGGCGTCATCTCGGCTCTTTGGACTTGGGGGTTGATTCTCCTTAGGATGCGGAAGCCTGGGGACAGAGTTGCGTATGGGCCCTTTCCCCTGCTTTTTGGAGAATCCGGGTCCAGGATAACTATTAGCAAGAAGGCGTTTCCTATGCAGAATGTGGGAGCGGACAGGAGAGGGGCCAGCGAGCGCCTGGGGCAAGTGCGGGTCCCTCTCCCCCCCACTTTGCTCCTGAGGCCCAGCGTGTTACCTGGGCCTGTCCGTGGGTTTTAGCGGTGTCCCCTGTCCTTAGGTCTGTGTCCCAAGAACCCTCCAAATGCCTGTCTGCTGCCCAGCTTGCTCAGTCAGCAGAGCATGAGATTCTTAACATCAGAAACCCCAGTCTTTACTTTCCTACCATAAGATGGGTGTCCTTTCCCACCTTCAAAATGTTTACCTTGATGAAGTTTTTTCTTGTTTATATTTATGATCCCTGAGAAAACCCCTGAAACATCACAAAAAACGATAAAGAAAAAAGTGACTCTCCGCAGGAGCCCAGGTCAGTTGCGCCCGCCCGCCCGGAGCACCTGCTCCCCAGGCCTCCCCATTGTTTACCTAGTGGGAAGGGGTACCATCGTATCCGTCGGTCCACTTAGCCTGAATCCCTTGGAGACAATTCGGTTCTGCAGGTAGTGATATTTTTTTCCGGGTAAAACGAAGACTCAATCTTGGGCATATTCTTTGTATTTAAATATTAAATTATACGTTCACGCTAGTCATTTAAGGGTACGTTTTCATTGCAAGAAGTCGAAATAATCTATATTTCTACATTTTATTTACATTTTTATCTTTAATTCACAAGTTTTTACATTTTACAATTTTATTCTACATTTATTAATTTAAATACACACATAACGTTAACTTGGCCATTTTAGCCATTTTAAGTGTACAAATTCAGCGGCATCAGTTTCATACACGATATTGAGCAACCATCACCACTATTTGCTAAACGTTTTCATCACAGTAATCGATTATACTTTAAAATGCAGTTGTCCCCTTGGGCAGTTCAACCCCTCGTGTGTCCCAGTTATCGTCTGAGCTGTATTCACGTAGCCAGTTTCCAGTGGGCTCACGAGACTTCGCGGCCGGTGGCTTCAGGACCCCCTCTCCACCAGGCCCCTCCGTGTCCTCGGGTAGTGCGGGAGCAGTCCAGGCGCTGGCAGCGTCCGAATCTCCGGAGGGCTGAGCGGGCGGCTGGAACTGCCCAAGAGTCTGGCGCCCGCGTAGGCCACAGTCCCCCGAGAAAGCTAAAAGTTTAAAAAGTAATTGAAAAACAAACGCAATAACGACCACGAAGGGACTCGAACCCTCAATCTTCTGATCCGGAATCAGACGCCTTATCCATTAGGCCACGCGGCCCCGCGCCGTGTGGTGGCGCAGCTTTCCTTATAAAGCTTCTGGGGGCTCCTGAGCGGTCCGTAACGCTCATGTTTGCAGTGTCGAGGAGCGAAAGACAGATACACAGACACACACAGTCTCTGATTGGGTTTCCCCCCTCCCTCCCTCCTTCTGTACCGTGCGGGGGCTCCCGGCTGGCCGCTGCGGGAATGCGATTTTAGAGTTCGAGCCCCGGTGAGGCTCCTTGGGCTCTCCTCCCCCGTGTGGGCAGGAGCCGCCCCGTGCTCCGGCGGCCCCTGCGCTTCCCTCATCCAACACCGCTGAACCTGCTCTGTTTCAGTCTTGCGGCCCCACTGCACTCTGACCTCCGTGAAGGCAGACGCCGATCCAGCAGTTCCACTGCCCCCGCGCGGGTGCAGGTGGGGAGTGTGTGCTGGGAGAGCGATGTGGACCCCGGCTGCTCCTTCCCAGGACATCCAGCCCAGCCTCGTTCATGTAGGGGTCCTTCGTCGCGGACTCCACCCCCAACCCCTCCCGGTCACGGCCCAATCTCTGGTTCCCAGGTGCACAAATGAACCCGTATGAAGTGCCAGGTACTTTGTATATTGTCTCCTTCACTGCGGCGCCTCCGGAGAGCAGACACTTCGCCTATACAGCAATCAACAGATGTTTATTGCACGCCAGTCGAGCCCAGCGATCGTGCTGTCTGCCCATTTACCCATGAGGAAACCGGAGAGTGGATGGAGTTGGTGGTGGCTGGGGTGTAACCCCCCATTGCCAGCACCGCCTGGGTAGCCACAGGTGAGGTCAGGCCTGCAGGCACAGCCGGCGCCTCAGCGAACTGCGGATCTCCAGGCAGGCCTTGCGTCGCTCATCGCTGTCAGGGCCCAGCACGTCCAGTTCACACACCTGTCGGTTGGCCTGGGAGAACCACACTCAGCATGTGCCCGGGACTCCCGGGTCCCCTAGCAGGCAGTCTGGCACCCAGTGTATTGTAAGGCCTAACATTTCACGTGCTGCCTTGACATCCTTGAAGACCAGCCATACTCCACCCCATCCTCCATCTATGGGGCTACAGTCCAATGCCAGTCTGTGAAATAATTCAGCCAAGCCCATCACATCCTTCTGCAGGAATCAGGGGGCACCCCATCCTGTTTCTACAATGCCTGTGGCCCACAGCCCCTGCTGGCTCACTCTGACCCCGAGTGCAGCTCCAAGCGGCCCAGCATGGCATGCTGAGTGTATGTGGCCAATAACTGCGTCAGTCTCACCTGTCCAGTGCTGAGTATCATGTGATAAGGCAGGGATCCCATCCTCACCAATGGGATGAACAGGAGGCGATCAGAACACCAGGGCTGGAGAGAAGGGTGATCCCATCCCTCTCCCAAGGTTGCCACCCCCACTCCACCCCCAACACACCTCAGTCAGCAACTCCAGAAGGTCTCCCTGGGGTTCAGCTCTGAGCACCTCCACCAGTGTCTGAATGAAGTCTGAGCCCTTCTCATCCCGATACGCTACACAGCCTGGGCCAGGAGACCAGGACAGCGTTAGACTCAGGCCCCACCCCTGTCTTCCAATACCAGGGACCCTTTGTAGGGGGAAGTCTGGAGCAAGTAGACAGGACCCTGGGGTCGGACAAAGGAATGGGGCAAGGGGCAAGAACTTCTTGCTTCTGGAACAACTATTGCTCTGTATTTGTGGGGTGAATACACAATGCATTTGGTATCACACAAACATTCACTGAGCACACCATGTGCCAGGCACTGAGCAGGGCCTGAGGCAGACAGAACTGTCCTGTCCTTGTGGAACTTAGAGCCTGGAAGAAATGGAGGCACACTGCTTGGCAGTCAACCACATATGCTCACCATCATTACTATTACTACAAATAATAAACGTGGAAGGAAGATGGCTTAACTACAACTTGGTTGCTGCCCCTCTGCCCCAGCTACTAAGCCCCAGCTGCCCCTAAAACCACTCTAGATCTCTGGCTTGCAGGCTGGGCCCTGGGGCATGGAGCTTCCTGATGACCAACCCCTTACCCTCAGCAGTTGCATAGACAGTCAGGATGTCTGCTTGGTCACAGCTCCCTGGAGTGGGGCCACTGCAGATGCCGCCTGCAAGAGGGACCAACTCCACTCACCCAGCAGCGGGAACTCCACAAGCCCCAAGGGACTCCCAAGTCTGGTTCAAGGGCACATAGGGCAGTGGAAAGAGTGCAGGGCAGGAAGGAGATCTGAGTTTAAATCTCAGCCCCACTGCTTACCATCTGTGTGGCCTTAGAAAAGCCATGTCACCTTCTGTTCCAGGGCTGTGTTGAGGCTCAAATAGGGAAGAAGCCCTCAATTTACAAAGGCCCTTGCAGTTTAGGAAGGTTTTCCCTCCCATCCTCTTAGCAAAGAGGGGAAGGAGGTGGCAAAAGGACCCCATCTCAAAGCACAGGAAATGCACTCCAGACAGCTCCCCCCACCAGCCTGCCCAAGCCCAGGCTCCAGAAGGCAGGCAGACAACCTTGGGCATCGGCATAGATCTGGAGGACATCTGCATGGGAGGAAGTGGCTGGTGGCGCCCGCAGCCAGCGCTGGAACCAGGGGAGAAGTGTGGGCCCTGTGCCAGCATCCCTGTGCCCTGGGAAGGAGGGGACAGGCAGGTCCTTCCACTCAGAAGACATCTGGGGATGCCTCGAGCTACTCAGCCCCCAGCCCCAGAACCCCAGGGCAGGCCTGCCAGGCTGGAAGCATTCAGAGCTCTGAATGACAGGTGGTGAGATGCCATGCTCAAGCTGGTGGACTTGACCTCTAGGAGAGGCTGGGAGAGGGGGTGAGGAAAGGACCAGTGCTCAGGCTTCCTGAAGGAGGTGGACAGCTAGTCCCAGGAGGCTGTGGACTGGGTAAGGAAAGCAAGGGCAGGGGGAGGTGGGCCAGAGGCCAGAACCTGACTGGGCCTCCAGGGGGCCCTGAGCTTTGCTCACCTCCACGGCAAGCCTGAAGCAGGAAGATCTTGGGGCAGCCCCGCAGGGCCCTGCAGCCACTCAGCTCCTGCACCAGTGCCTCTGGCCACACCGCTTGCCCATCAACCGCCAGCAGTTGGCCCTGAGGCCCCCCATGGGCCATCAGGGCCACAAGGGCACAGCTCACAGGGCCCCTATGGGTATCCAGGCGGTCCCGGAACTGGGCCAGCTCCTCTAGGAAAGCCTGGAGTGGGGACAAGATTGAGGCCTGGGCCAGGGCCACTGCCTCCTCAGGACCTGGTGGCCACCCAGGTACGCTTCTCCAGCACCCTGCCCACCCTACTTCCCACCCCCTGCCAGCCTCAGGCCAAGGAAGAATTATTTTCCTAATCTCCTCACTGCAAGGCCTGGCATGGCCTAATTGGAGGTGATATGTGGGTCTAGCCTCCTACAGCTGGCTCTTTGGCCCCAGCAGGGAAGCTGTGCCAAACAGTTAAGAGGTGTGAGGGGAGGGCTATGAGCTGATGGGCGTCCAGGAGAGAATGTGAGACCCTCCCAGGAAAAGCCTGAAGGTCCAGTTGGGGCCTTGAGAAGGGAGCAGAGAAACGGCCAGCATAGAGGCTGCAGGAGTCCTGGAGGCCAGCCTTCCAGAGGCAGGGAAGTGGGTTCCCAATGCTTGCAGCAGGGAAGATGGAGGCTAGACTTGGGGGTGTACTTCCTGCCCACGATGAGTGAGAGGCCCAGGAGAGAGTCCACAGGGTCCTGAGGGGCACTCTGCCTTCGGAGCACCACCAGGAGCTCTGCGCTTCCCCTCACCTGGGCTGTAGGGTCTGTCCTCAGTGTGGTCTCGAAGCCCAGGGCCTCACAGAGGCCCCCCAGTGCCTCCACATCATGCCGGGCCCCGGGCCGGCCCTGGATCACAGCCAGGAGGAGCGCAGCTCTGGCTCCAGACAGGTCATACTGAGCACTGGGGCCAGGTGCTGGCTACAGAGGAGTTAAGGCACATTCAGAGCAGCCTGGGGACCCCCCAGCCCCTCACCTCCATCCCAGGTCTCCCTGAGTCTGTCCCACTCACAACTCCTGCACGTGGACTGGACGCTGGCCCTAGCACCCTTACCTCGGGCCCCCAGGGCCCCACGTCCCCCAGGCACAGCGCGCCCCGAAGGGAGCTCCGCAGGACTGGGCAGTAGGTGGTCCCTGAGGTCTCTTCTGCCGTCCTGCAGAAGACCTGGGGAGGGCGGGGCCAGCGGACCCCTCAGGGCTGCTCGGTGGGGGCGGGACTCTGGCCCCAGGGGCGGTGGCTTGGCCAGGCTCAGGGCTACGAGTCTCTCGGGATCCCTGCCAGAACGGGGGGAGGAGGAGACAGGCGAGGAAGGGGAGGGAACAGGGGGCCTAGTTCAAGCTCCACGTCGTGGGCTTCCCTGGACACGGAGGGCCTCAGCTGGACGGTGGCCATGCCATCAGCCCCACACACCCCGCCCCGGAGGCCAGTGTGCACACAGGCAGGGTGCTCCCTAGAGCGGGTGAGGGCCAGTCTGGGAAGGCTCATGGGATAGGCATGGCCTGGGGAGGGGAGATCTTAATCATTCCCCGCCAGGGAGCTGCAGCCTGCAGGCACCGTCCCTGCCTGGGTGGGCAGAGCCGACTCAGGCAGCACAAGGAAGAGCGCCGCCAACAGCCTGGAAGGGACTGTGTGAGGCTGGCAGGGACAACTGGGGGCGAGCCAGGCAGAGGGGGCAGCGTGGGCAGAGGCACAGCCTTCAGGAGCAGCTGGGAATGCCTGTGGGACCCTGCGTGGCTGTGAGGGGCGGGGGGACAAGTCCATGTGCCTGGATAATAAAGGCTGATGTTGTAGCACAAGTGGGTGTGGAGCCTGTGAACTCACTGATGCGCACCCAGTTCAGGAGAGCACAGCAGAGTCAGGGAAGGTGACGGTGCAGCCCCTCCCTGGAGCTCCCCGAGTGGGGCCCCCACCTCTGTCAGCAGCTGCAGCAGAGGCCAGTGAGGAGAGCGGCCACAGAGCTCCTGCAGGCCGCTGAGGAAGGCTCCCGGCTCGGGGGCTGCTGGGTGGGGAAAAGCAGCACGTTGGCCTGGATGGGGCGTCTCTGCCCTCCCACCCACCTCCACCCCCTTACCCTGTCCCGTGCCCAGGGTCTTTGCCCGGCTCACTCACCCCCAGGAGTACTTGAGAGCAGCAGAAAGACTTTGGGGCAGCCCCGCAGGGCCCCACAGCAACTCAGCTCACGGACCAGCTGCCGTGGCCGCCTCAGCTGCCCCCTGGGAGCCACCGCGGCCACTAGAGCGCAGCCCACAGGGCCTCTGTGGGCATGTAGCTGCTCCAGGAACCCAGCCAGCTCCCCAGGGAAGCCCTGGAGCAAGAGCAGAGGCTGGGCCTGAGCACCGGGAGGCCCCAGGGAGGCTGGGGGCGAGCATGGGAAGCAGGCGAGGGCTCACCTGGACCGAGGCCTCCCTCCTCCGGCAGCTCTCAAAGCCCAAGGCCCGGAACACGCCATCCAGGACAGCGACTGTAGAGGCCGACACCTCAGGGCTGCTGAGCGTCAGGGCTACCCTTAGGCCTCGCACGCTGTACTTCCCCTGGGGAGGCAAGGCCAGAGTTGGGCTGGGGTGGGGCTCAGCTGGGAACCAGGAATGGGCTGGCCAGGCAGGGCCTCCCACCTTTCTTTCCAGGCTCTCCTGAGCATCTGCCATCTGCGAGGCCACCTGTAGGGTCCCAGCCACCAAGAAGGCCATGGGCACTAGGTGGTGGCTTCCTCTGAGCACAAACTCACCTCCTGGCTCCTGCACCAATGTGCTGGGCCCCAACCCTTGCCCTCTCCCTAAGCCCCGTCCTATCTGCTATTTATGAGCTGAACCGGACTCTGTCCCTGTCCCTGGAACCCTGGGCCCTGCTCCCCACTCCCTGCTCTGTTCTCTGGCTTCAGCAGCCTACTTCCTGGCTGGCACCAGCACACCCCAACCTGAGCCAGGAGCCTAGGCCCAAACCTATTCTTAGTTCCTGGCCCGTCTCCTATCTGATCTCGTTACACCCGAGTCTCTCCCTTCTAAGCCAGCCACTGGAACCAAAAAAAACTCCATGCACTGCTCTCGCCACCTGTCACCCCCTTCCTCATGGCACCCACACACGCACACAGCAACTTCAAGCATGAGGGTACAGGAAATGGCAAGAGGTAAAATGTCCCAGAGGTAAAAAACCTCAACTTGGGTCAACTGTCCATAGTGAAACCCCAGTTGCTTCATGTGGGAAATGGGGTCTGTGGCAATAACCTCAAGGTGAGTGTTAAATGGGGTGGGATGGTTAAGGGAGGGCCTGGAGGGCAGAGAGGCTGGCACGCAGACTTGGGGCAGAGCATCCCATTTCTGTCTACCCCACCCGCTGAGGAGCTTGGTCCGCAGAGGCCACCACCAGGTGAATCAGGGTTTAGCAGGGGCGGAAGTTCTGAGCCTGCACCCTAGGCCCCCACCCCTGGATGTGGTCAGAGATCAAAGACCTGGCGGGCAATGAGGGCAGGGCCCCTCTTGACTCGGCAGCCCTCTCCCCCTAAGGGATGAGTGCAGGCACCAGCGTAGAGCTCTGGATAAACATGTCACCACCCTGACCAGCCACGCCGTCTCCAAGCCCTTTTCCTCATTTCACCAAGAGAGAAAGGGGGTGGCCTGGCAAAGACCCCAAGTCCTGCTCAGCTCCCCCTTTCTCCTTGTAGACTAGGGGGGTGGGTCACCAGTTGCCCCATCTTGAGCTGTCCCCAGACCAGGGCAGGCACTGGCTGACACAGAAGAATGAGTCCCGAGGTTCATGACTGCCCCCTGGGGCACAGTTGACCTGGACATCACCAATGTGGCTCCACCTGGTGACTGCTGAGCACCACATGCCCCCAGGAATACTAGGCCAGGAGGCCAAGGGGTACGAATTTCAGATCCCCCCAACACAGCAGCCACCTAAAGAACAGAGCAGCCTGGAGGAATTTTCCACATTTATTTAAACCCTTCTGCTGCCCTTTTGAGGCCAGCTGGGCCGAGCTCCCTTGGGGGGCCTGTGGTCTGTCCCTGCGAATGCCCATCTGCTGTGATGCAGATGACACCGTGGAATGCAGTGCCTAGGAAGTCAGCGACGGAGCTGACAGAGTGCTAGTGTTAAGTATCACCAGCCCCATGCCTCTGGAGCAGTGGGGAGCAGTGGGGAGCCTCTGCCAACCCTGTTTTTGGCCTGCAGTCAGCGTCTGTCCTTGGGGCCACCACCCCTCTCACTAGACTGGCAGTAGTGGCTCTCACTCACCAGGGGGTAATTCAGCCAAGCGCAGAGGCAGGCAGCTTCCCCACTGCTGAGGCAGGGCAGTGGTCATGGCCTGGAAATGTGGGGTGGCGGCCAGAAAGCCCCTATGGCCGCACCCAGGACCACATCCTCATAGGTGTGGGCTGACTGGCCCTCCCAGAGCCCAACAGTGCCCTGCGGGTAAAGATCTGTCCTCCATCCCTTCCAGAAAGCACAGGTGGGCAGGACAGAGCGCCTGGCCCATGGACCCAGCCAAGAAGGCAGGAAATAAGAGCCACAGGGTAAACAAGGGTGAGGGGAGCCCTTGGACGGGGACCCCAGGCCCTGCTGGAGCCCTCACACTTGCTAGCCTTTCTCCCACGCTAAGGCCACTGACCAGGAACATGCTGGGGCCCCAGGAAGCCGGGGGGCAAGAGAACCCCAGGAGGAGGAAGGGGAATGGCAAGCTGACCACGGGGTTTTTCTATTCCTGGGGAGCGTTGGCCGGTACCAGGGCAGAGCAGGCTAGCAGCCCGGACGGGCTGGGGGAGGGGGAGGCGGCCGTGCCGCTGCTCTTCCCCAGGGGCCCCCTCCAGGCTGGGCGGCTCCAGCCGGCGCCCATGCACCCTCAGCCCACGGGCTGGGCCATCTTGGCGTGCAGGCTCTGGTGGGCGATGAGGTGCGCACGCTGCTTAAAGCTCTTGTCACACTCGCCGCAGCCGAAGGGTCGCTCCCCGGTGTGCACACGCCGGTGGTCCAGCAGGTAGGAGCGCAGCGAGAAGCTCTTGCCGCAGTCACTGCAGCCGAAGGGCTTCTCGCCCGTGTGGATGCGCTGGTGGTCGGCCAGGTAGGCGCTGCGGCTGAAGCTCTTGCCGCACTCGGAGCAGGAGAAGGGCTTCTGGCCGGTGTGCACGCCCTGGTGGCGCGCCAGGTCCGAGGAGCTGCGGAAGCTCTTCTCGCACTCCGGGCACTTGTGCGGCTTCTCGCCTGTGTGCGTGCGTTGGTGGCGCGCCAGGTCGGAGCCCCAGCGGAAGCGCTTGCCGCACTGGCCGCAGCTGTGCGGCTTCTCGGCGGCCAGGTCCCGGAACTGCCGCCGACGCGTGGGCGGCCGCCCCCGCCGCGCGCCCCCCGCCCGTCCCCCGGACGCCCCCGGCCGGGCCTCGCCCTCCCAGGCCTCGGCCACCTCGGGGCTCCAGGACACACCCCCATCGCCGCCCTCCTGGCTCGGGAGCGCCGGCACCGCCTCCTCCAGCTGGGACCGCTGGCTTTGGCTCTTGGGCCCCAAACCTGCAAACCGAGAGGAGGGGCCCCTTCAGTCCCTCTGGGTTCCGGGCCAGAGCTGGGGCGGCAGCGCTCAGGGAAAGCTTTGACTTCTGCCAGCCCTGGGCTGGACAGCAGGAAACCAGGCCTTGTTCCCTCCTCCATGAAATGGGCTGGGACCCGATGCGGCTGGGCGGCAGCTCAGACGCAGAGGCAAGGAGCTGGGCTGGGCTGACCCTGCGCAAGGAGGTGCTGGCTAATCACACACCTTCCAGGGATGCCTCCGTTTCCACCCAGGGATCGCACTGCCGGCTCCCTGAACCCTGGCTGTTCCCACCCCAAAACTGAACAGGCTCACGGGAAGCCTGTACGTTACCCAAACTCTCATTGGTCATCCCCAGAGACTGGGGCCCCACAGGGGGCTGGCTTCCGTGGCTCCCACTGCTCTGCAGGCTCCGGTCCTCCCCACTCAGGAACCAACAGATTCGGGCCCGGGGGGATCCTAGCCTGCACCGCCAGGTCGCGCTAACCGAGATGGTTCCCACGGTGCTCAGAAAGGCCGGGGAGCGAGGCCTCTAGTGAGCAGGCCCAGCCCTGGCACATGGTGGGTGCCGTCACTGTCCCTGTCCCTGTCAGCACCTCCTCACAGGGAAAGCTGAGAGCCCCTCACAACCACCGTGGGCACTGAGTCCCAGCTTTGTCCCATCGAGTCCCTTGTCTGTAAAACGGGCACACTTCTACGCACTGCGTGGTGAGAACCCTTGAGAAAACATCCACATGGGTGCTGAGCACAGCACTGCCTGTCATGAGCAGCCATCGTGTACTCACACACACTTATGGTCAGAGAAAAATGAACATGACACAAAAAAGAAATCGCCCAGGGCTCCTGAACAGATGCCAGGAAAGCGCACTGCAGAGCCAGCCAAGGGGCGTGGGAAGGAGGAGCGAGCATTCCAGCAGGACACGCAGGGGTGTGTGGCCTGCCTGGGGCCACTCTCTGCTGCGGGCACCTCCAGGGAGGCTGCAGCCCTCAGCCAGAGGAGCCAAGGGCACCAGGGCCCTGGCTGTGTCCACTGCTTACCCAGGGCAGCATCCCGGGAGCTCTCCCGCTTGATGTCCCAGAAGAGATCTCTCTGAGCAGGGTCCAGGGAGCCCCATTCTTCCCGGGAGAAATAGAAGGGAATGTCTCCAAAGGTCACAGGTCCCTGGAATGGGTAAGAAAACCCAGCTCGGGGCTGCCTTGCTCAGGAGCCCCCAGGTAGCTGTGGGTGGGGGCAGGAAGGGGGTTGGAGGGGGAGCAGGGTGGGTCCAGACAGAACCGGGAAGAAGCCCACTGATGAGAAGACGAGTCCCATTCTAGAGACTCGACAGCTCAGAGGGCCTGAGCGAGAACATAGGGGTGGTAACTCACAGGGACCCCCAAGGCGAAGCAGGTGTCTGTCGTCTCTCGGGCACACCTCTCTTTCAGAAACGCAGGAAGCTGGGCTGAAGGGAATGAAGAGAGCCTCAGAGGTCAGCCCTGGCCAAGAGGAAGACCTGAGACAGCGTCCTGCATGCACACGTGCCTGGGCTTCAAGGAACAGAAACACCCTTCCTACTTCCCTTAGGGCAATGTCCAGGGAAGTGCCAGGCCCCTGCCCAGCCACTCTGGGGCCTACCAGCCTACTCACCACCATGGCTGTGCTGCTCCCAGGGTACAGGTAGCCGGCTTCGTGCACCCACCTTCAGGGGTGGCCCCTTGGCCTGGGGTCCCTGGACAGCAGCCTTGGGCTCCACCTCCTCTGAGGATGCTTCCTGTGCAGGAACCACATGCTCATTAGCACCGAGACCAGTTGGCGTGGATTGGGGGGCAGAGCTCAGTCACTGGGAAGGAGACACAGGATACGTCCCTCAGGGGGCTGGGGGTGGGGAGATTAGTAAGAGGCTCCAGGCAAGTGTAGAGGAAAACCGATGCTGTGTGCCCAGGACACTCCCTTATCAAGCACAATGCAAGAACCAGCCTCCAAAGGCCAGAGCCACTTAGCAAGGGGGAACAGGGGAGAGACACTCCTGATGAGGGCAGAACCCCACACCCCAGCTACCCATTAGTGCTACCCCAGATGCCTCCAGTGTCAAGGACCCAACACCCCACAAAGCAGCAGGGTTCAGACAGTTCCACCTTCTCATACCCACTCCGGTGCTCTCATTTTGCATATCACTGTGGGGTACGGCCTAGAGTAGAATGGGAATAAACATTTGCAGGCCCTGCGTAGAGCTAAAGCCTGCCTTCCTAGAACATGCCCACTCTGGCCCTGCTGCTGCCCTCTAAAGCCACCAGAAAGGAACCGGATTCATTTGGGCAGTGTGTTTCAGAAAGGTAACACCTGTCAGGATATGCTCCTATGGATGCTCCCTCTGGCTCTGTGTCCCCACCACGCTGGAGGGCGTGTCACCATGGAGACAGCCACCTCTCCCCAACCTCGGTGCTCACCAGGTGCCCCTGGATGTGGGAGGGGCCCCTCACCTGTGGCCATGCTTTCCCTGGTTGCCTCTGCAGGTCCTCCACCAAGGCAACGGCCTCCTCGCCACTTCCCGGGCACTGCGCTCTCACCCAGGCCTGGACGCCCCCAGGCAGCATGCTCAGGAACTGCTCCAGCACCAGCAGCTCCAGGATCTGCTCCTTGGTGTGCAGCTCAGGTCGCAGCCAGCGACAGCAGAGCTCCCAGAGCTGGCTGAAGGCCTCGTGGGGCCCATCCACTTCCCCATAGCAGAACTGCCGAAAGCGCTGGCGGCAGGCCTCAGAATCTTGGCTGTCCTCTTGCTGGACAGAGTCCTGCTCCCAGGAGGAATCTTCTACCTTCACGATCAGAAGCCCTTCTCCCTCCCCAGTGGCCTGGTCCTGAGGCTCCAGGGAGGCTGCCATTCCCCTGTGCTAAGGCTCAGGGCTGGTTTGGCCTTAACCTGGCCCAGGAGCCTGCCCTTCAGTCTCCCAGAGGGATTCCCTGAGGCAGCTGGGTCAGCATCTGGACACACTCTCCTGGGGAAAGAGCAAAATAGCAGGAGGGGGACAGTATATGAGCAAACAGCAGCCTGGAGGGACATCCAGGAACTCCAGCTCCTGTCCTTTCCTGGACCTGAAAAGTGTGGCTTTCCAGTAATGCCTTGCTCACATGACTGTCTCGTACCTACACAGGCCCACAGCCCCTTATCCTCAGCTCTGAAATCCAAAACACCCAAGTTTTTACTACCTGACCTGCTGAAATGAGTGTATTTGTAATCTCCATTTATCACACTTAATGTAAATGTATGTTTTATGGCAGAGATATTAACATCTGTTCAGTTTGTAAATTCATTGAGCTGTACTTACCAGGGGGTATTTCTGTATGTGAAATACACTTCAATAAAAAAGCTAATTAATGCATTTGATACTGAGTTTTGCCCAGATTCTGATGGCTGGATTACCTGATATGACATGTGCACCGTACTATCATCCTCAAATTTGAAAACTTCTGAATTCCAAAACACATCTGACCCCGGGGAGTGTCAGGGAAGGGCTCACAGACACCAACCTAAGCCATTTATCCAGTTAGTATGACACGTATTTATACTTTGCTACTCTTCATAACAGTTCTGAAGTGTATTTTGGAATTTTCTTTGTTTCAACAAAAAAAGTGGCACAAACCATTATAACAAAAAAGGGGTAAACAATATACAAATTCATAAAAGAGAAACTCCCTTCCACCACTTGTACCCTCTGATGAACAGTCTGACATACAACCTCCCAGACTCTTGTGCATTCACTGAAACTGTATCTATGGAAACAAAAATAAAGTGTTGTGTGTGTGTTTTCACATGAGGTCTTACTGCACGTTATTTTGAAATTTGCTTTTCCACCTAACAAGTCGTTGTCACGAGCCGTTCTGGGAGATTCCGCGGTGTGGATGTGTCCAATTCCTTAACCAATACCCAAGTGAGGCACTCACGCTGTTTCCAGTCCTTCTCTACTACAGGCCACTTAATTTACTTTATTTACTTTATTCTTCTACTCTCATAACACCCCTGAAAGGTATGCACTCCATTCTCATCCTCCAGTGACTCGGAGAGGGCCAGGGACTCACCAGGGCGGCTCGGCCGGACGCGGCAGGCGAGAACGCGGAGCTGAGAGGCGGCTGGGCGGGCAGCGGGTGCAGGCGCCCCGGGCTCCCGCCGGCACTTCCCAGCGGCGCGCGCCCCGTTGGGCCTCTGCCTCGGGGCGCCGACACCGGCCGCCCGGAGACCCGCACTTGACCTCAGACCCGGCGGCCCGCGTCGCCGGTCCCGCCTATGGGGTACCCACTACCCAGAGCCACCCATGCGTTCCCACTTCCGTCGCCAGGTTTCTGGTGCCGGAAGTTCGCGCGGGGCTCGCCGGGAAACGACACAGCGCAGGCGCTTCGGCAAATTCTCCATCTACACTCCTCAGAATGCAGTTCGCCCATTGACCCTGCCGTCTCTCTGACGGATGGCCAATGAGCCGGGAGAATTCCAGGGCTGGCCAATCAGAAGGCAGCAGCTCCAAGCGCGTCCGCAGTTGTATCCGAGTTGCGGTGTACAGCTAGACTTGAGTTGTGCTGTGCGCTTTTCAGCTGTTCTTTCGGACTTCTCTGCTCGTCTGACCCGTGAGGGGAGGAAAGGGGGAACCAAGGCTGGCCTAGTGGGCAGAGACGGCGCCTGGCCCGGCCGCCAGTGGAGCGCCTGCTCCGCCGGGAGGGATGCACTGGGGCGGGCCCTTCCTTCTGACATCGCCCTGTCTGCTGGAGAGGGTGGAGGGCCGAAGGAGCGGCCCAGGAGTTGGAACTCGGCCCCGGGAGACTAGTTTCCAGCCTTCTGGGTTCCGCCACCACCCAAGTCTGTATCCGCTCCTAGCGGGGCGTGGAGCTTCCCAGGAAAGCAGTGCAAGGAAGGGGCGCGGAGCCTCCTGCGGCGATTCTTCGTCCCCGAGCGTCGGACGGAGTCTCCAACCCTGGCTTCCCCATCAACTTCATTTGCTAGGCGGCGAGGGTCCCGTGACCGGGGAGAATCCAGACCAGGCGGCCATGTCCGGAAAGCTCTAGTTTCTTGTGATGCATTTTGACATTGTTCCCACCCTCCCTACTTTCTCCTGGTCATGGAGATGTGAGACGCCAGATCTTTTTCTGAAATAGAGGCTCGCTTTATTTTGATTTGATTATGCAAGTATTGCATGTTTAGTGTAGAAAATAAGATTAAGAAAGTATGGAAAATTATAAAGGTATCCATATCCACAAGGCTAGTTCCCACTTGCCCTGTGCTCAAATGTCACTCCCTCAAAGTGGCTTTCCTTAATCCTATGTAAACAGCTCCCCGCCCCCCGCCATACCTCTGCCCTGTCATATTTTCCTTCCTTTTATCACTACCTGACATATTTGTGCAAAATTTGCCTCCCACTACCCAACTATAAAGTCCATAAAGTCAGACTGTTTTCACGGTCCTACTGCCAGCATCCAAAATTGTGACTCTCACAGTATCTTTGAGTAACTGAAAGTAAAAAATATTCTTAATTAGGCCACTCAGAAATAAGCACTATTTATAGTGTTCTTTCAGTTCTACATCTGTGGATATCCCTAATGCAAACCTGGAATCATTCTGTATAAGATACCTATCGGGGATATCTTTCCATTATAAATAAAATTCATGTTTTATAAGCTGTATAGTATTCCATAGTATGGACGTTCCGTGTTTTCTTTAAAGTCCCTTACTCTTGGACAGTTAGGTTGTTTCCATTTTTCTGTATTTGCAGATCTTTTCCACACACACCCTGCATTTGTTTGAACAACTTCCCGGACGGCATGAGCCAAGACTGTTCTTCAACGACCGCTGAGATGGATGCTCCTGCCCACTCCCCGCCCCCTACTGGCCTCAGTGGAAAACTGCTCAGAGAAGAAGGAACTGAAAAGTTCCTATTTCCAGGTGCTGCCTTACTGACGTTCTTCCAGCACCCTCTGTTGGCAAAGATTAATATCAAGTTGGCTAGCATAGCAGAAACGTCTACAGGCTCCAATGTCAGGCAGTGTATTGAGGGTCTGAGAAACAATGAATTAATAACTGGCACACCAACTATGTATTCTATTGAGCATTACTGGTAGATGAAAAATTATTTGAATGCAATTGTATTGAAATTGACCATCTAATTGCACTTCCTTTTACTTCTGACAGTGTTTTAGTTTTTCTAGTTACAAAACATAATGAAAAAAATAAAAATTTTCTTTCCAGAAAATGTATCTTCATTCCAAAATATGTACTAATTATTTTTTAATCTCATAGCATTGTCCAGAACTCCCTAAAACAATGTTAAAAATTGAGGAGAGCAGGCATCATGGTCTTGGATAATGAAAATACTTTTAATGATTTATGATTATGTATCTATTGTTCATCTCTGATATACATCCACTTGTATCAAGGAGCATCTATTCTCATTTGTAGTAGAAAGACTAGTGGTTCCCCAAAATCGGTTTTCCCCTTCTATGTAAGAATTTTTCATGGGCACACGGCCATTCAGAATAAAGACACTATTTTCCCTGCCTCCCCTGCAGCTAAGTGTGGCCATGTAATTAAATCGAAGCCAATGAGATATGAACAGACATGATGTATGCATCTTACTAAAAAAGGATGGGTCATGTCTTCTATTCCATTTTCCCCAACTGCCCACAGGAATTTGGACATAGTGGCACGGACCATGAAAATAAAAGTGACCCAGAGGTGTCAAAGCAATAAGATGGAAGATGCCTGGATTCCCGATGATTGTGGAGCTGTCAGACTAGCCCTAGATTCATTCCCAGGCAGTGGTGTGAGAGAGAAATAGATATCATGTTTAAACCACTGCTATTTTCAATTTCTGTTACAACCATAACTAGCACTACTGCCTACTAAGAGTTTTTTCATTATAAAATCAAAAAAATATTTATTTTTGTAATTTCTTCTATGGGATATTGGATATTCATAATTTCTATGTCTTCTTGACTAAATTTTGATAGTTTTTATTTTTCTAGGAGATCATGCCTTTCATCTACAATTTCAAATGTATTAACATGAAGGTATACATAGTATTACTATTTGATTAAAATTTAAAAAATCAGCACGTGTGGTTAAGTCCTACTCCTTGTTTTGGGATCATGAGATGGCATTTTAATGGCGGCAGAGGGTCAGGCCAGGAGGAGCCCGGGCCCATGTTGAGTCCGGATTAGGGCTGCCATACCCGTCCTGCCCTGGGACTCCAGCCCGCCTCCGGATGTCATCTTTAGAAACACACTGCTCTCTTAAGACCCAGTTGTTTTGAGTCTCTGTTATTTGTAGTTGAACTGAATCCTAACCGATTCACTACCTTATAGGGTTGTTACAAGGATTAAATGAGAGAGAATACATGTGGGCCACTTAGCCCAATATTAACTCTCAGCCCACAGTAAGTGCTCGGTAAAGAGTGGTTAGTCCCAGGGAACCACGAAACACATGCCTACAGGAGCACAGGGTACATGAGAGGCTGCTGGAGCTGGGCCCTCTATGCATCTTTTCCACTCCCCACTAAAGATTTGAACCCAACATGCTCTGGCCAGTGGTCTGTTGGATTGTATTAATCTCCATGGCTAGCCTGCAACTTTGGTGGAACAGAAAACCCAGTGTGTCCGAGGAGGTGCCGGCCATGGAGTGCTGCCTTTGTGACCCAGGCAGGAAGCCTGCCTGGCCACGTCACAGGCTGGCAGAGCAGCATGAGGATGAGGAAGGCTGGGGCATCCTCAAAAGCTGTCTTTCTCCACTCTCCCCAGACACCAGGGAGAAACCTCAGGCCACAGCTCCGGGAAGGTCACAGCCTCTAGCCTCCCCTCTTCCTGTGTCTCCCTCCCTCCATCCCTCCTTCTCACCAGGAGCGTCATTTCAGCTCCTGGAACCCCAATCGCTTCCTCATTGGCCGTTATTCATTCTTTATTATAAAGGTATCCGTATCCACAAGGCTAACTCCCTCACTCTTAGATTCATTCTCTTCCCCCTGCTTGGAAGGTTCTGCCCTCCAAATCCTTGTAAAACGGCTTCTTGTCGTCCCTCAAGTCTCAGCTTAAATGTTCACTCCTGACAATTAGTTCCTAACGTCCTCCACCGCTTCACCCTGTTCCTTCTTTCCGGAATGGTCACTACTTGAAATCAATGTATGTGTCATTTATCTGCTTGTCAGTCTCCCCGGCTAGCCCAGAACCCTGTAAGGGTTCATTGCTTATTCCTCAACTTTTAGCAGGGGGCCTGGAACGCAGCCATTCATTTCGTATTTGGAAAACGAATGAGTGAATGCAGCAAAGCCCTATTTAACGTCTCGCAGCCCTTTACGCGCCTCCACGCTCCACCAGACCCAACCCCGAAACCCCCACCCCACCCTCGCCCTTGCCGCCTGTTTCCCCGGCTTCCCCCGAAGAGCAAGGCGGCCTCCTCCCATGCCGCTCCCGCCCCTGCGCCCGGCTCTCCTCGGGAAGCGCTGCCAGGCCCTTCTCCGGGCTGGAAGGTGGTGGAGCACCCCTACAAGAGGTGTTCGGGCTCCCGCCGACCTCCGCGGCAGGGGCCGCGACCCCCGGCGCCACGGACGGGCCAACCCTCGTCAAGGCCGGATGTGGCCTCCGGGCCCGGGCGTCCAGGTCTCCCGGGCAGCAACGAGCTGACAGGGCTCGGCGCGCGAAGCGGGAAGCAGCCATGACCCGGGCTTTCGCCCTCCGTCCGCGGTCTCTCTAGGACGGCAGGAGGCTCGGCATCTCGGTGGTAGGCCCAGGGCCGGCTCCGAAGGATCCGGGGCTGGCGAGAAAGGTGTCAAGCCGTCCTTAGTTCCTTCTGCAACCGACGCGGGGCTGAAGGGGAAAGGGCACAAGCCCAGAGCGTGGGGCGGTTGCCGGGCGACTGTGCGGCTTGGGGACGCGGAGGCGGAGGGAATGGCAGCTCTGAGAACAAACGCCACCCGTGATTGGGCAGCTTTTGCTGGAACCGCCCCCTAGCTCCGCCCAGACACCCGATTGGCTAAGGTCAGAGCAGGACGGGAGCCCCGGAGGAGCTGTGCGGGGCCGACGTTGTGCTGAGGCCGATTCCCCCGGCCCTACCCGGGGAGGGCACTCTGGGCCCTGAGGGCCTTAAGCAAGGGCCTGGGCCACACAGGGCGCGGAGGAAGGCCGAAGGCGAGCTCCCCGCGCCGCCCTCTCCCTGGCCCTACTCCTGACGTCGCGGGCGCAGGCCAACCCTAAGCAGCCAGGTCGGGTCCTCCAGCGCCGAGAAGCCAGGATGTCGGTGTGAGCAGAACCAGGAGGAAGCAGGCCACACCTCTGAGCGTCCTCACCTCCGCTACCCAGAGAAACCAGCACCCTTCTTTCTGTGGCGGCCCCGAGACCAGTGAGTGACCTGCTACCTCTCATCGGCGCTCTATCACCCACCAAATCATGAACACCCTTCAGCCTGAAGAACGTCAGAATCTTCCACGATGCCCAGCTACCTCCTCAGTCTTCTTCTGCTCTTTTTAAATATTTTCCAAACTGCGAAGTTCCACTCTTAAAATGCTCTGGCAAGGTCTGTCCCAGAATGGTGGCCTTTGGATGGCTCTACAAAGTGGACAGAGACCCCATAGAGCCCTTGGAATAATGTCCACCTGCATTATGCTCTGAAAAGGGGAAATTTTCTCCTGGATGCTGTGGTCTCTGTGGAGGCCAGAGTGAGGTCTTTGAAAGCCTGCCCGGCTCACTGCGCAGACCTCTGAGGCTCAAGTCCTGACACGTCGGCTCTGCTCGCAGCCCAAGGAAGCTCATGAATACCCACTGTGCAAATGAGTGCTCTGTGCTAAGCTTGCGGCGAGTGATGACGGCAACTGGTGTCGTTTTAACAAGTCTCCCTCCCACCTCTGTCTCTCCCCTTCATTAGGAAACAGGCTTCTGGAAACAACAAGCCTGTTTTATGAGTACAAGGACCCTCAGCCCTGAGGGAGCCGAACTGAGAAGCACCATTTCTGGCTGATTTGACCGGAGCCAAGCTGACAGGAGGAAATCCCCTTCTTTCCCACTCTTTAATTAAGAGCCGTCTAATTCTCCACCAGTCCTGCCGACAACTCAACCCCAGATCCCACTGAGACCTCCCGCTAGTTAGCACCTTCCTGGTGTTGGTCTGATTTCACGTGCCACCCCCCGCCTCCATTTCCAGCTGAGTCCAGAATTCCTGGAGGTCAAGTCTACTGTCTTTCTTACTCTTCTTTAGACAACATTGCCTCACAATATTATGCACTAATAACAGTCAATAGCTTTTTGGGTGCATGGAAATAAGGGCCTCCGTTACATGACAAAATCCCTGGATAAAAACCCCAGCTTCCAGTTCTCTGGTTGTATGACTTTGGGCTAATCATTGGACTATTGCTCTCAGTGTGTTTGTCTATAAAACCCACTGCTCAGAGTTGTGGAAAGCAGAGGTGACATACATATGGTGCTTGGCCCCATGCCTGGCAGGGCAGCTGCTCAACAACTGGCAGCCGTCATTACTATTCTCCGTCCACCATCTCAAACGACTACATGCCTTAGAGGGGGAAGCCACCAGGGCTGCAGCCACCCTGCTGGCCCTGTGATCCACGGAGACAGATGAGGTTGCAACAGCCTCCCTGACACAGATCCTCAAGGGCACTTGGTGTCAGAACTGCATGTTATCTTGGGAGCTGAGCTGCAAATCTTGGATAATAAGCATGCTGAGCCCACACCTCCCCAAGAAAAGAAGTAGAGAATAGGAAATAGAAGCTACAGAAGTAAAAAACTAGAAGGCCAAGAGTAAAAAAGCCAGGCAGTGATGGAGGGTGGGAGGCTGCGGGATTATAAAGGATGTGTAGGGTCAGGCCAAGGATGTGAGCAGTAGTGGAGGTTGCTGGCAGCAGCCTCAGAAGGGACCGGAGGGAGTGGTCCCTGGTAAGTGAGGAATTTTCACTGGGTGACAGCCATACCCCAGTGGAGGCAGACGGAAGTCAGTCCCTGTTGCCTGAGATGGGAGACAGGGTGGGCAGGAGATAATGAGCACAAGTGCCCAAGCCGGCACTGGCCTGCTGCTCGCTCCCAAGGGACCGGTGGAGGGTCCAGGGCTCAGTGGGCAGTGCTCCTGGGACGAGAGTGACGGTGGCAGCAGACACCTCGCCAAGGGGTTGGGGCCTACAGTTTCCGAAGTGCCTGGCATGCTTCAGGTTTGGGAACCTGTGCTCAGAAGCCTTTGCCTGTAGATTTATGGCCCCACGCTCTGGAACAGGCTCCAAGCCAGGTCACGGCTGTGGAGGAGAGGGCTCACGCCCCAAGAGTGATGACTCAGGGAGGCCTCAAGCATGCCAGCCTGGCTCACCCAGAAGCACCCGGTCCCGGACAGCCTCCAGGGCCTCGTGAGACAGAGCTATAAGCTGCCCTTCAATTCCAAGGCCTTTATTTTGCAGCTTGCGTGCCTGCTCCTCACCCTAGCTCCTCCCACATTGCCATGCCCCACCCCATGCCAGCACCTCCCCGGCCTCCTGCCACATCCCCTCACTCCCACAGCTGCTGCCCTCGCTGCCCCAGGGCCGGGATGCTCCCTCAGGGCCGCCTAGGTGGGTGCAGGCGGGGGCGCCGCCAGAGTCCCTGCCGCCCCCAGCATCAGCATGGCCAGGGCCTTGGGCCCCGTGGTGTGGATCTTCTCATGCCGGTGCAGGTTGGAGCGCCGGCTGAAGCTCTTGCCGCAGAGCGGGCAGGAGTAGGGCCGGACGCCACGATGGGTGCGCTGGTGGGCGGTGAGGTGCGAGCTGTGGCTGAAGCTCTTGCCGCAGTCGAGGCAGTGGTAGGGCTTCTCGCCCGTGTGCGTGCGGTTGTGGGCGATGAGGTTGGAGCGCTGGCTGAAGCACTTGCCGCACTCGGGGCACGGGTAGGGCTTGACACCAGTGTGGGTGCGCTGGTGGGTGACCAGGGCCGAGCTCTGCGTGAAGCACTTGCTGCAGATGGGGCACTTGTGGGGCTTGGCGCCCGTGTGGGTGCCCTGGTGGGTGACCAGGTCCGAGCGGCGGGTGAAGCGCTTGGCGCAGCAGTCGCACACGTAGGGCTTCTCGCCCGTGTGGATGCGCTGGTGCTGGATCAGTGTGGAGTGGTGGCTGAAGCTCTTCCAGCAGGAGGGGCACGTGTAGGGCTTCTCGCCCGTGTGGATGATCTGGTGTTGTATGAGGTGGGAGCTGCGGCCGAAGCGCTTGCCGCAGTCCGTGCAGGCGTAGGGCTTCTCGCCGGTGTGCGTGCGCCGGTGCGTCACCAGGTGGGAGTGCCAGCTGAAGCCCTTGCCACACTGCTCACACTTGTAGGTCTTCTTGCTGGCATCACCCTCCGGGGACAGGCCCTCCTCACTGCTCTCAGGGCCGCCTGTCTCCTCCTCTCTGGGTTTCTCTGGGAGGCAGCCCTCCTGGGCTTTCGGGGGACCGGTGTCAGGTGGGGCTGGTTTCAGCAGTCCCTCCTTTGGAGGACCAGGCTGTCCATCATCTTTGGGTGGCCCTGAGCTCTGGCTGCCGGCCACCTGCCTCCCGCACTGTAGAGTGGCCCCCTGGGCTCTACCCACCTGGCTTCTGAAGGCTTTCGCATCCCCAAGGGCTGCCAGGGATGGGGTGGGCTCCTCTCCCGCCTCAATGGCTCCTGGAGAAAGAGTGTTTCCAGCAAGAGAGAGGCTTTTGTGAGCAACCCAGGGGAATCCTGGCGATGGAGATAAGGGCAAGGACCTGAGGGGAACTCTGGAAGCGAAGCCCCCTCTACAGAGCGGGGGGAGGCTGACGGCTTTGCCCCAGCAGGGGCTGTGGCTGCACCCCACAAGAAACAGAGCCTGCACTGATAAGGGGCACCTGGAGGGACGGCAACGACCAGACTGCCCGAGCCACGGCGCCTGCCCACCCGCCACCTCTGCACGCACCTGTCTTCTCCTCCACCTCGTCTCCTGTTCGCCGGCACGAACTTGAGGCCTCGCCCTTGCCCTGCACTTGGGGGGCCCAGAAAGGCCTGCTGAAGGGAAACCCTGCCCAGAAAGAGACACTGTGCTCAATCACAGAACTTCCGGGCTGACCTCAGGAGGCCCACCACTCTGCCAAGGAACAGGGCCAATGGGCAGGAGCTGCAGCTGTGCAACCAGGCAAAACTAAGGCAGCTCGAACCTCCCTCGGGGTCAGGTGCCCACCCCTCTCTAGGAAGCACGTTCCCAGGCAACTGTCAGGCACACTCTTCTCAGGGCTGAGTTGGGCCCTGTCTTGTGTCCCCAAACCGAGCCAGCACCAGTGGTGAAGGGCGTGAGGGCAGCCAGGTCAGCTGCTGGCAGCCCCTGACGCCACCCAGGCCCCAGCAGCGGGCTCGGCATTGCCTCCCCTTCGTGTGCCTTCCCAGGACCATCAGCAAAGAGGGGGAGGGGCCGTGAGCAAACCGAGGCCAAGTGAGAGGGCCAGGCACACTGACCCCCCAGAAGTCAGGGACCAGAGGCCCATATGTCATGTCCCCGACGGCTAGGGCCCAGGAATCCTGGTCAAGTCGTTGGAGAGCAGAGCGGCCCCGGCCTCCATGCCCTAGGCCAAGACCCGTGGGAAGGAAGGAATGTGTCGCACCAATAAGGTGGTTCAGGGCATTGTGAGGCTTACCCGGGGACTGCACATGGGTGCTAAGTTCCCTCTGATCTCCCAGGACTTGCCTGGACCTGCTGCTCTAGGCCCTGGGGACTGTAACCAACAGGCCGTGAGCACACCTGAGATAATGAAGGGATGAGCCCAGTGGCTGTTGTGATGCTGGGGCCTGCCAGGGACAGAGGTGCTCTCGACCTACCATCAAAGTCACAGGATGGAATTACTGAGCCCTCAGCTCAGCCTGGACCAGCAGGGCTGACAGATGACCAGTCTGAGTGAGCGAATGAATGAAATGAATGAACACCCTGGTTTCCATAAGACCCATAAACTTCATGAAAACTAGAGTCTGAAACTTAGGAATCAAAGCCTCGGGACTTAACATTGTCCAATCAGGAAAAAGGAAGGAACCAAGGCCCCTCCGAGGAGAGGGCAGGCCCGCAGGGGGCGGAGATGACAGCTCAGTCTGCAGGCCCAGAGGCGAGGGTTACCCTTTCCACCCCAGGCCAGCAGCCGCAAGCCCCGAGTCAAGCTTTCTGCTTTCTGCTCGGATGCCTCTGCAGCCGGGCTGGGAGGAGCAGACAAGCAGAGCCTCGAGGCCACCATGACCACCGGCAGCCGCTGCCACACGGGCCACCTCACCTCAAATCTGAGCTAAAATGAGATGAAATAAAATTTAAAGCTTAAGTGCCTTAGCTGCATTCTAGGGCTCAACAGCCACGTCTGGTTTGTGGCTCTGCCACATCAGCGTGGGCACAGAATAGGTCCATCACTAGGCAGCTCTACAGAGCAGTGGGATCCAGGTGAACACGAGCGGGGGTTTAAGCCCTGGGAAAGGACAAGGTGACACCGTGACAGGCCCCGCCTCTGCCACCCAGGCCTCAGGAAGCCCCGCCCAGCGGGAGCAGAGCCCGTACCCAAGGACAGCCCGTTCCTCTTCTGCAGGACGTCCCTGTAGAAGCTCTGCTGTGTGTGGTCGAGCCGCCCCCACTCCTCCCGGGACAGGTACAGAGCCACATCCTCAAAGGTCACTGGCATCTGAAATATCATGAAACACCAGCTCTCCAGACACCATGAGAGGCACAGTGGCCCAAGAAGAGGGCAAGCCCGGGACCCGCCCTGCTGCCCAAGCGACGCCTGCCCTTGGGTCTCATGGGGCTGCAGGCCAGCGCCCAAGGAGGGCTTTTGGGGGAGAGAGCAAAGCGGCTGTGCCTGGCAGAGACAAGAGACAAAAACAAGAGTCCTTCTTTCCAGGCGCCACGGCTGAAGCCCAGGGCCTCCATGGCGTTCCCCCCCAGCCCCATGTCTGGCCCATAAATCTGGAGGATGGTCCAGTCAGAGGTGCGGCCCCCCCAAGTCCTTCTGCTTTCCCTCCAGCCTTGGATGGGGACACTCACCTGGGACCAGGCGGTGAGGAGAGCCGCGGCCATCTGCCGGTCTCTGGTCCTCCCCTCGCGGGCAAGCACGGGGACCTGCAGGGAGGGGAGGGCTGAGAGAGGAGAGAGGTTCTGAGGGTGGGCCCTGCTGCTCCTCAAGAATGGGCTCATGTCTGGTCTTCCAGGGACACCCACGGCTGCCTCAAACTCCACCCCAACCTGACCCAAGAAGAGTAAGCAGGCTCTTAGGCTGTGCGGGGGCAGCCTACGGAAGGCAGGTGGGCAGACGTCTGGGCATCTCCCCCTGACCACGGCAGGAGAGCTCTTCCCCACTCCACCGGGGCTGCGCCTCCACCTCTCCCTACAGCTGCCACCCAGGAAGCACCTCTCCCCACCTTTCTCTCCTCACCTCCTCCAGGCAGGAAGAGAGCTTTCTCCTTAGAGCCCTGGCTCAGAGGCGCCCGGCTCTGCGCTCCTTGAGCCCTGTGCCCCTGGGGCACTCCCTCAGGATGCGGCTCTTCTGGCTCCATCTTGATGTGGTGTGACTCCCAAGCGGCTCCCAAAGGCACTGCTTCCTCCAACTCGGAAAGCATTTGTTGACAAGGATGCCCATGACCTGGAACCTAGGAATGACAGCCCCTATCAGCACCAGGACAGAGAATGGAAGACAAAGCTGAGCCCTGCACCTGGTGTCCCAGCAGAGCAGACACCTAGGGTGGCCAAAGGCACAGCCGAATGCCAGGCATGGCTTACAGGACTGGCCCCGCTTCCTCCCCTGTCCTGGAAGAACCACACATCTCTGGTTAACCCCGTGGGGGTCGGTGAGGAAAGGCAGGCCCGGCAGTGTCCTGCCGGGTATGGGCTGGCCAGCTGGCTGCAGGGCAGAACCTCTTCTCAAGTCAAGCCGCAGTCTTCCGCATCGGGATGGATCCTCGAGCCAAGGACCTTCTGGAGCCCCAAAAGCTGAGAAGCAGGGTGAAGCCTCCCCTGGAGCCTCACGAGGGAGCCCTGCAGACACCTTGATTTTGGACTCTGTCCTCTAGAGCCATGACAGAATAGATTCTGGTTGATTAAACCCACCAGGCTGTGGTCCTTTGTTACAGCAGCCTCGGTAAACTCACACACCCAGGCTGAGATCAGACGACAGTCCAAGATCACGGAGCTCATAAGTGGCTCAGCCGGGCCTGGAACTCAAGTGCATCTGACTCACAAGTCAACCCAAGGTCCCCCATTTCTTGAAGATGACAAGGAGGTATCACGTGGCCTGGGGCAACCTCTGGCCTGACCCAGTTTGGTTGGAGCAGTTAGACATTTTTGGTTTGGAGAAAAATGCCCAAGGGTGCCACTAAGTGCCAAGGCCTCACGCCCAGCTTGATCTGACAGAGGAAATCTCTCCAGAGAACCCCCTTCAGCATTGCCGATAGTGGGACTTCAAGAGTCCTCCCAAACTCACCCCCTGTTCTTCACACCAGCCTGGGCTGCAGCCCTCAGGGAGGGTGAGGAGCAGGCTTTGGAGTCAGTCAGACAGGGCTTGGATCCCAAACGGCCCCTCACTAGCCATTCAACCCTGAGCAGGCACCACCTTCCTGAGAAATGTCAAGAACTTTGGGAAAGTCATTCCCCTTGCTTGGAGGCCCCTCGCCCTCCACCCCACCCACCTCCAATTATGTTAGGGTCTCCATGGGAAAGACCTTCAGGCCAGAAATCAGAGTGCCTGGGAGCCACGTGGGCCAGGCAGCCCCCAAGACTCAGCTGCTCTGCCTCCTGCATAGATAGCATGTGAGAAAGAGTTGCCCACTCCAGAAAGTTCTGAATAAAGACAGTGCGACACTGAGAGTTGTTACGACTCTACTGTGTGAGCTGACAGAATCCAGCATCAGCAAAGAATGTTGTGGATGTGCAAGGCCTGTGGACTGATAATGCATTGCAGAAGGGAAGCTACATGTGGTGACTGCTCTTCGTGTTTCTGTGGTATGTAAACAGTACAACTCATGGAGACGGTCCCCAATTTAACAATGGTTCCACTTAATGATTTTTCAACTTTATAGCAGTGTAAAAACGATACACATTCAGTAGAAACCAGACTTCAAATTTTGAATGTGGACCTTTTCCCGGGCCAGCAATATGCAGTGTGACGCTCTCCTGACGCGGGCAGCGGCACCGAGCCACAGCCCCCAGGGGGCCATGCGATCAGGAGGGGAACGACGGATACGTACAGCCCTTGTTTTTTCGCTTTCAGTATTCAATAAATTACACGAGATGATCCAACACTTTATAAAACGGGCTTTGTGTTAGATGATTTGCCCAACTGTAGGCTAGTATGAGTGTTCTGAGCATGGAAAGATATGCTGTTCGGTAGGTCAGGTGTATTAAATGCATTTTCGACTTTGGACATTTTCAACTTCGGAGACATAACCCCACTGGAAGTCCAGGAAGATCGTAAGTTGACTTGTATGTGTACTTACAACCACTGAAAATGTGGGTTGAGAGAATACAGGTCTCCCTGACCTACGGTCTAGGCGCTGTGGTGTTTGATGTGCCTCAGTAGTGATCTCCTCCGGGCTGATGAACCGCTTACAGAGGACTCTCGTTTCCCGCTGTAACTCCAAGCCTCCCAACTATCTGGGCGCCAACAGCAGGAACAGCAGGCACATGGTCTGTATTTTATAGACGACACACCTGGTTCCCAGAGGCCAGGAACTCGCCCAAGATCTCGCACCTGGCAGCAGCAGACTCATACTCCTGATCCCAAGCTTGGTGACCCTGGGTCCCACACCCCTGAACCCTCCGCCCCACAGGTTGCAATTACACACAAATGCAATAAGTACAGGAAGGACCAGGTGCTCAGACCCAGAGAGAGAGGGCACGGGGTCCAGGCAGAGGGGATCAGATGGCAGACCAAGGTTTCCCTGTGTGGTCTGGATGCTATTCCAAGAGCCAGCCTCACCTGGAGGACCCCCATGCAGCCTCCTGGTACCTCATGTAGCCTTTGGTGCACTCACTATGAAACTCACAAAGCGAAGCAGTTCCACGAAAGCCAACGGAAGGCATTTTCCTTCTCTTCAACACCTCCCATCACCCCCACCCACCAGCCCAGCTCCCGTGAGTCTAACTCTTCCAATAGGTCCAGATGCCCTCTCCTGAAAACCCCCTTCCACTTCAGTTCTTTCCAGGGCACGCCTCCCTCACCCAGCGCCCCATCCATACCTCTCGGGTGCTCTCCTTGTTCTGGGTAGCCTGGATGCTTCCACCATCAGCAGACATTTTCTGTCTCGGAGCTGGAAGGCACAGATGAGTTGTTTCTCCCTCCTGCTGGCCAAGCCCCCTGCAGCTTCTGGCTAGGAGCCTGGAAGCAAACGAGGAAATCAGCCAGCATCTCCTGGATACCTCTGAAGTGCCCCCAAAACCCCCACGCAGGCCCAGGACCACCCTCAGTCCTAATCAGAAATAAAGCTTCCCGGAGGCCCTCCAAGGGTGCACTCTCTAGAATGTTTTTTGGTCCCTTACTTTGACAGAATGCTATTTTGTATTGTCCCTTTGTTGCTGAGGTAAGAACCCTGCATCTCAGAGCAACCGGATTAGGGAAAGCCACGGCTGAATTGCAATCTCTCTCTCCTGTCATCAGGAGCCCAAAGGTCTGCAGGAGACCCTACAAAACAGTATGCCAGCTCAGCTGAGGAAGCCAGGCCCTGCTCTCTCCCAGGTTCTGCACACACACACACCCTTGTGCTCGGCCTGACTTGCGCTCAGCTCTGCCTGGGATCCAGAAATCAAGCTGCCCACTCAGCAGCCCTTCCTGTGGCTGCAACCACACACCCAGGCCTGGAGTCCATCCTGCTCACAGTCCTGGAGGGACGATGTCCTTCTCCTTTCCAAACCCAGGTCCAGGCCCCCTTCTCTCCCACCAGCCCGAAGCCTTCCACCTTTGACTTGTCCCCTCATGCCAGCTGAACTCGTGTGTCTCAGGATCCAGGAACCCTCCCCAGCCCTCCCCCCCTCACCGAGGTGGAGGCAGAAGCGGCACCTCGGCAGCCAGGTCCCCTCCCCGGCTATGGGAGTCTCCGCAGCCAGCAGCAGGCGCGGGGAGCCGGGTGGAGACTGGGATTAGGGACAACAGGAAGTCCCTCCCAGATCCCGTTCCCCATGCAGCTGCAGCCCAACAGGGTTCCCAGTATCGAGGGTTCCGGGGCTGGGGTCCTGAGCACAGCTGCACCTCCTCAGCCAGGGGGTAACTAACTCCCAGATCTGTTACTGGCTAATCATTGCTTTTTGTAGCATATACTCGTAATACCAGCAAAGCAGGGGCACCCAAACAGAAAAAATTTCGTGGAAGGATTGTGATGCTTGACATTTCAAAGAGAACACTGCAGCTGTCCTCACAGGAATGGCGCTTTACTGACTGGAGGAGGACAGTCTTTTTCAGCACAAGGGGTTTCTGAAAGTCTTGGGGTATCTCTGTGGAGATGTTTCTGAATTTCATTCAAGGCCTGTTAGCAGGTGCTCTGGGTGCCCCCTAGACTGGCACAGAGTTGTCGCTCCATAAGAGCAAGCTTAGGAAACAGGGCAGCCTAGGAACTCCCCTCTGCCCCCCTGCCCTACATACACCTGGGGATGATGTGGGACCAATCTGATTTTTCTAGGCCCTCCTCCAGGCTCCCTCTCAAGGCTGGGGATAGCAGGGATAAAGGAGTCTCACCCCACCATCTACGAGATCTCAGACCCTCAGACATCCCTGGAGGCTTTATTTTTCACCTTTTAGTCTCTGTTTTCTTCTCAGAGCCTAAGAAAACTAAGTCTCCCAAAATGAGAAGACAGAGACTGCACTACACTTTCTGGGATGAGGAACCCATTTCTCCTGAGCAAGGGCACAGGGGATGAGTGTCAGAAAAGGGGTGGGGGCCAGCCCTGGACTCAGATGCCAGGAAGGTTCCTCCAGGCAAGCATCCCCTCCAGTTCCCATCTCATGCTCACTGCCTTCAGCCCATCAGCCACCTGAGACGCATCCACTTTATCCAGTAAGAGGCAGTCTGGCCCCTGTATCAGCCCAAGGGTGTGCTATGTGAGCTCACAGGGGGTTAATTTTTTTTTAACTTAAGTTTCCAACATTTAAAAATTAGAAGAGTTCTCATAAAATTGATTTTCTTGAAAAAATAAGAACTGGCAACCGTAGACCAACATTTCCCACATCTGAGGCATGCTCTCAGGGTGCCACATTTGGTCCCCACTCAGCCCCTGCAGCATTTTGAGTTTGCAACTCTGTTTTTGGAAGTGAAACGTGTTTTTAGGAATCTAGAATTCTGATCTATTCTACTGTCACTTTGATGAAAGAAAAATTACCGCTGGGATTTGTCTTGTCAATATTCCCATGCATTTTAATCCTCAAAGTAAAGAGAGATGTACAAAACTGTAGCAAAAGTCAATATTGTTTTCAAGCCAGAGAGAGCTAGAAACTAAGAAACAGCCACAGGGGGCCCTGAAAGCGATGCATCAGTCTCTGAGTATTTCTCATTAATGAGGAGTACAGCCAATGTCCAGAATAAGGGTGCTCACCCTGGTGGACCACTGCAGCCCCTGGCAGTCCCAGTAGTGCACTGAGTCCCAAAAAAGTGGGTGTGTTCTGATTCCTAGGCAATGGTTTCTCTACCAGACAAAAGAGGCCAGTTTGGGGATCCTATGGAAGTCTGGAGGTTTGGATCCCATCTTGAGAGCCCTAAACCAGGCCACATGAAGTCTCAACATTTGTTTAGAAAATATTTACTGGGCATGCACTAAATGACAGACATTATCCCCTCCTTGGATATGAAAGAAAAACCTTCCAAAGCTGGCTCTAGGACTCAGCAGGCCTAGGAGGAAGGATGATCACATTTGCTGTGTGGGAACCGCAGGCCCCAAAAGATTTCAGAAAGGCGTCGGGCAGGGTGAGTCAATAAGGAAAGCAGAAATCAAAAACCTAAATGCCTCTAGGAACCAGAGAGTGCCATAAATGACCAAGTGGCTCGGCTGTAAGACAAGGAGTGGGGTTGGGGGGAGGCTTCAGAGACCTCAAGAAAAGAGGTAATTGAGGACCCAGTATAGCCAAAGCTTGAAAATTTTTCAAGGGAAGCCAAAAATGAATTTGATTTCTATGTGAATCCTGATTTTTAAATGTTGATGACATTTTAAAATAAAACACTTAACTCCACGCAACTCCTGCAGAAAACAGCTGTTAGCTCACAAGCCACCAGTTTAGGAATATACTCACCCCAGGAGCCTGCCTCAAGGATAACTACCATGGATGAAGGCGCTAATGGGAGCTTCAGACACTGCAAGCACTCAACAAATGCCAAGCCGGTATCTGGAGGCCTTGCTGAGCTTGCTTAAGAAGACTCCCTTTAGTAAATAAATCATGATCTATGCTCAGAGATTGGCCTGAGAGCTGACTCAGGTCTTGAAGAGGACCTTATAAAAAACACCCAGAATAATAAAAACTAGAAAAAAAAATCATCTTAAGAAAAATAAAACAACCCCCACTCCCAAAAAACCTTGTACTAATTAAGGCAGTTAAGCCAGGCTGGAGGCTGGACAATGCAGAGACCGAGAGACGATAGGGGAAAATAAGAGAATGAGAGAGGTCAAGAAAAATAGGCATGATCGAGTAAACAACAGAGCGAATGAAAAAGAGAAAAAAAGGTGAGGCTCCAGAGATAAAAAATGTTAAAGAAAATTAAAAATAAATAAATAAATAAGGACACCCCCCACCCCAGGGCCGCCGGAGACCAGGCAGTGCGCGCTCACACGGTCGGTGGCCCGCCCACGCCCGGAGGTCCCCGGACGGGAAGCAGCAGCGCGGAACGCAACCCGAGCCTCGTGAGCCCGCCCGGGAGCCCCACGCGCGCCAGGCAGCGCCGCCCTGAGCTGTACCCGCGGAACACCCACGCGGGGAGTGCGTCGCCCAGGCAACGACGCCGCCCCGCCCCGTCCGCGTGCGCACGACACACGCCGGTGACAGGCTGGTGCCCAAATGGCCCCGCCCAGCTCCTCCAGGGCCCCGCCCAGCCGCCCTCACCTGCGCGCTCCCGACCGCGCTCCCGAGGGGCAGTGCGGGCTAACGGGGAGCGTCACACAGATGTCCGGCGGGTGTGCCTGGCTTTCCCATCCGGCTGCCCCACTTCAACTTCCGGTTTTCCCGGCTCTCTCGCGGCGCCAACTTGTGGACCCCGGGCGTGGGGGCAGTCGGGGCGGTGATGACTTCTGGGCGGACACCCGCGAGTCCTGGGGTCGGGGCCCTCCGTGGGGAAACTGAGGCTGCCGCGCTAGGGCCCTCCTCCCGAGAGCGCCGGGGCCGCGCCTCCATGCTGGGGACCCGGAGCACGAATTCCAGCCCAGCGCCCCATCGGCCTTCTCCTCCAAGGGGCTCCCCCGACACTCACCTGTTTCGATTTTTGTTGTTTAAAAAATGGGAGTACATCGTATGCCGCTGACCTGCCCCGTGTTTGTGTGACGTATCTTAGAGACTGTTCAATATAATAAACCTAGAGAAAGAAGACATATGCACCCCTATGTTTATCACTGCACTATTTACAACAGCCAAGATATGGAAGCAACCTAAGTGTCCATCAGTAGATGAATGGATAAAGAAGAGGTGGCACATATACACAATGGAATACTATTCAGCCGTAAGAAAGAAACAAATCTACCATTTGCAACAACATGGATGGAGCTGGAGGACATTATGCTCAGTGAAATAAGCCAGGCGGAGAAAGACAAATGCCAAATGATTTCTCTCATTTGTGGAGTATAATAATGAAGCAAAACTGAAGGAACAAAATAGCAGCAGACTCAGAGACTCCAAGAATGACCTAGTGGTTACCAAAGCAGAGGGGTGTGGGAGGGCGGGTGGGGAGGGAGGGAGAAGGGGACTGAGGGGTATTATGTTTAGTACACATGGTGTGGGGGGTCAGAGGGAGAACAGTGTATCACAGAGACGGCACATAGGGGATCTGTGGCATCTTGCTGCACTGATGGACAGTGACTGATTGGGGTATGGAGGGACTCGACAATAAGGGTGAATGTAGTGACCACATTGTTTTTCTTGTGAAACCTTTATAAGAGTGTATATCAATGATACCTTAATAAAAAAATGCACACACACACAGACACACACAGAACCTAGAGAAAGATAGAGGGAGAGGTGGGGGAGACATGCAGCAGGTCAAAGGCAAAGCCGGACATTAGTAAAAGCGGACACTGCAGATTGTAGTGGGTCACCACTAGCAGCAGGGGAAAGGGCTGAGCTCTGCCCCATTTGTGCAGGGGTGTCTGGGTGTTCTAAAGGGAGATGGGTTAGGCCAGATGTGTGCCAGCTGGACGGTATGGGAGTTGGGAGTCCACCCTCCCACCGCGAAGGGAGACAGGCCCTGTCCTTCCTGACGAGTCCATTTCAAAGCAACGGCTCTCAGGTCCTTGAGAGACACTTCTGGGTTGTAGGAGACACATATTCACAACTATAAGCCCTTTTTAGTAAATACTCTGAGAGGGAGGTCAGGGACCTATAATTTTGTGGTGCCCAGAACAAACAGCAAATTCTCCTGGCAGGACAGGCTTTTGCTTTCTTTCCCTCCCTTTCTCAGGCAGGCATTGTAATGGGGGCTGGGGTCATCCTAGTGCTGCGCTGCCAGGAGCCACGCCGGATTCAGTGGAGTCTCCGTGCGGGTTCAGTGGGGGCCGTTACAGGCTGAGGGTTCTGCAGTTCTCAAGTGGTTTCTTGCTGTTTTTTAACTATGGCATATTTCCTCGTATGGCTGTATTACCATTTCTATAACCAGGCCTCTACTCACACCCAATTCTTGATGCCCTCGCGGTGCAGCGACTGACTACCCAGCAGCTGTTATCATGGAGCCTTTGTTCCTTTCCAGTGGGTGAGCAAGATCTGTTAATCTTGCAAATCTTTTAGGTGGAGGGGCTACCAACCCCAAGCCTGGCTCCTCAGTCTCAGCTATGATGCTGGCCTGGCAGCCTGCCTGTCACGGTCAGTCAGCTGGATTGGCCTTTTCTTGCCCTGGGCAAGCTTCAGAAGGATAGGAAGCTCCTCCGGCGGCAGCAACACCAAGCATCTCCTTCCACCATTGTCAAGGCCAGCACATCAGCCTCAGCTAGGCAATCTGTAAACACCAGGCTAGAAAAGCCCCCAGACTTAATTGGGTAGAATAGCTGCTCCTCAAACTCCCACAACCCACCTTCCAGTACCTTGTGTTTACCTGGGAGCTATAGACAGCTAGCTTATAGTACAGGCCGGGAGGGAACACTCTATTGAAACTAAGCTCAACAGTCCCTCTGGCTGGCCCTTTGCGGCGGAAATCAAAGTAAATTTAAGTTACTTTCCCTTTAGAAGTTGATGTGTTTTTAGGAAACCAGGACACTGTTAACATCCTCCCAAAATATCCTTTGCCACTGCTGTGATCTGATACAGACGGTGTCCCCCTGTCTTGGGTAGTCTCAGGCTACATTCGCCCACACAGGCCAAAGACACTGACACAGGTGGGGATTAGGGCGCCAAGAGGCACACAGACCGGCTTGGACACAGGACGAATACTGGAGGCCCCGCTCGGGAGCAGGTGGCCATGGCATGCAGGCTCCCAGCCCTGATGTCATGTCCAGCTGATGTTTACAGCCCTTCACCTCTCTGTCTTCTCTATGTGTCATGTGGTCTTTCACAGAATCTTTTATGTTCTTTCTACTTGTGGTATTGGGAAAAAATGTAGGTCTTCCATTTGCTTTTACTTTACCACAGCCTTTTAAAAATTGTATTTTTGTGAATCCTTTACAATGTGACCAAAAAACAGTTAATGCTAGGAATCAGGGCTCCCGGAAGAGATGGCAGATCCTAGGACAAGCTCTCTAGACAAGGGGGAGACAGACTCTCTTAAAGCCAAACATTCACATACCCTGTGCCACAACAATTCACTCCTGGGTACAAACCTGGGTACCAACTCATATATGTAAGCACAAAAACATCAAAACGCTGTGGTTGAGAAGTCAGGATAGTGATTAATTACGCAGGAGAGGAAATGGCCACTAGGAGGCACCAGAGTAGCGCAGAGATGCCGGCTACAGGGCTGTTTTGGAAATTCATCAGATTCTTCACTTCGGGTTTGTGTACATTCTGTATGTTACATCTAAAAATTTACTTCAAAAAAAAAAAAAGTAAATGAAGAGAAACCAGTTGGGCCATTGCTATAGTCCAGGCAAGAGATGCTGGTGCCCTGGATGTGGGTGAAGATAGTGGGAGTAGGCAAACAAGCAGACTTGAACAATATTTAGGACATCAGATCTCTGGACTTGAAGACTGATGAGATGTGAGAATGAGGTAATGCAAGAGGTCAAGGATAAATTCCTATTTCTGGCTTGAGAGACAGAATGGATTCTACTGTGTTTACCAAAGTTGAGAATTCCAGAAAATACACAGGTTTGATGTGAAAGATTCATTCAGTCCACATTTAGTGAGGATTTGTGGTTATGTGTCGGGCACTCAGGTTATGGCAGTGTCAGCCAGAAAGACACTCACATGGTGCTTGCATTTAAGTGGCGGAATGAGTTTGGTTTTGAACACAAAGAATTTAAGACATTTAGGGGACATCCAAGTAGCAATGGCAAGCGGATAAGTTGAGAAGCAAAATATAAATACAGGGGTATTGGCCCTAGAGAATGTTATTGAGGCCACAGTGGCTATGAAACCACCCAGGGAGGTATATTAGTTATCTATTGGTGCACAGCAAATGATTCCCAAACACTGAAGCTTAAAATAAGTATTTATTGTTCCACAGTTTCCACACCTGACAAGGCTTAGCTAGATGCCTCTAGCTCAAGGTCAAGAGTTACAGTTAAGATGTTGGCTCTTGCTGCACATGAAACCATCTTAAGGATGGACTGGAGGGAGGGGGATCCGAGTTGGCTGACCTTGGTCCCTGGTGACCTTGACTCACCAGGTGGGCCTCCTCTCAGATGTCCCAGGGTGAGCTAGCAAGAGAGTGAGAGAGCACCTATGAGAACCCCCAAAGAGAAGCGAGCCATCTACAACCTGATCTCAGAAGTGACACCCCCTCACTCCTACGGGATTCTGTTCATTAGAAGTGAATCACTACATCTACCCCCACAAAAGGGGAGTGGGTCACACAGGGTGTGAAGAGCAAAGAGGCAAAGGCCACTGGGGGCCAGGAAGGGTGGGGTGGGAACAGCCTCCGAGGCCAGAGTCCTTGTAGGGCACAATATTTAATGCTCAGGTGGAGAAGACCAAAGGGAGACAGGTGGAGAAGTCAAGAGACAAAAATAATAAAATAAAGGTGTTTGGGTCCCAGAGGACAGTAGAGTCCAGAGGAAGATGAAAAACCGAACCCACCGAGAGGTCAGGCAGCAAACCAGTGGGCCACAGAGACAAAGGGTGGACGGAAGCAGTCTCCCCAGAGAGACTGAAATGGAAGAGTGAAGAGGAACTGGCCGAGCAGGGGTGGGGTGAACACCCCAATTCTGGGCCAGGGTGGTGACGACGGGGACCCAGTGGGTCATGGCTGAGCCTGGACAGGCAAAGGGAAGGAGGGCAAAAGGAGCACTCTGTGCAGGGAAGGGGCCGGGGGTAGCCCCGGGCGTACTGCCCGCTGTGAGCTCTCAGTGCGGCGTGGGGCCATGCAGAGCGTGCAGCAGCAGGGAGAGGATCTGCTCGACGCACATGCCAAAGGCACACAGATAGCGGCGAATGGCAAAGCTGAGCCTGTGTGGGGTCATGGCAACAGGGACAGGTGTTATTAATGCAGTTCAGAGACGAGCGTGTAAGCTGCTGCATTGACCAGAGTTCGTTAATAACATCGTGGAAATAGGGTTTTCAATAGTCGCCCTTCCCAGAGCCGTAGAAGGATCTCTCTTGCTCTGAATCATTCTAAACGGAGGAATCCTATGGACATGGAAAACAGGGGAAATTTTGTCTTGCTTTGGGATCTCTGGAGAGACAGCAGGCAGATGAAGACGCCACAGCCAGGAACGACAGGCGCTCCTGACGATCTGGCTGATACTAGATATTAACATTTTTCACATTTAATAAATGATTGTTTATTTTTTTAAGACACCAACTACTTAAAAAAATCTAAGACAACAGCTACAATAGTTCGGTATGCATTTTCAAAATAATTTTAGGAGATACTGAAATATACCCCAAACAGAATTATATTAAAAATTTCCCTTTTGGGGGTGTGTTTATCGCTTACTAAATGGAGATAAGTAACAATCCAGCAACTTCACAGGAGTTTTTACCTGGTAGTGGATATCACTCTGGGGGAGGGCAGTGTATTTTCAAAGAACAGGGAGAATCTGATGGGACTTAAGGGTTCATTAAACCTTTTTTTTCCTGTAAAGTACCTTGAATTGATCAAAGAAATCAAAGGAAACGCTGCTTCACCTGGTCCTGTATGACTGTTAGCCTTATGGGGTTTGCTGCCCCCCCACAACCTTCCACTTAGCACTTTGTCCCTGAGGGCAGGGACAGTGCCTGAGCACAAGAGGAAACAAGTGTTTTCCCAATGAATGGTGCGTGCAGGCCGCGGGCCGGAGTAGGGATATTAAGGCAAGGGTTTAGGGCGCAGGTTTAGGGAAAAAGGGGACCAAACCTAGTGACTTTCTGCCTGGATGCTACTTTTGGTGGTTGCGTCAAGCTGGTCCCTGCCTTTCTGACATATTTCCAAGAAAGGTGTCACCCCTGAGTTGGAGGCCCTCGCAGTCCGGGGTACCCGCCAACACCGAGCCTTCCCACGCGGTGGCACTCCGGACGCTCCAGGACCCAGGCACCGAGACCCCCAGGGCGGAACCTTACCGGACACGCCCGGTTCCTGCGATGCTCCCGCACCGCCTCCGTACAGGGCCCAGCTCCCAGCTCCCAAGGCCTAGGCACGGTCATGTTTTCGAAGGCCACAGCCATAGAGGCGAAGGTCAGTCGGACGGTAGGGGCAGGGACGGCAGTGCGGCGAGGCGAGGCCCGTGGGAACCCAGGCCTGGGGGGTCCCTAGGTGCCTCCGCCCCTCCGCTGCGCCGCCCAGTGGGGGAGGCCGCGCCCTGGCATGGGCTTGCGGCCCGGGAGAGCGCCCCGCTAGACAGTGAAAACCAAGGAGATGAGCACAGCCGTTAGGTGCAGGGAGACGGCGACCCTGCGGAGCCAGCGCGGTCGCAGGGTCTGGCCCCAACGCTCCGACGCGCCTGGGCGGAGGGGCGGCCATCCCCGACCGCCGGCCACCGGGCGGGTGGCCCCCGCTCCCCGGGACAGGTGGTGCCGCGGGAGTGCCCACAGGCCCTGAACGCCGAGGGGCACTGCAGATCCCCCGAGGAAAGTGCTCTCCCCGCTGCGGCCGGAAGCACGACCCACAGGCACCTCGGAGCGAAGGGAAGGGCTTGACTTTGGCCTCAGAGTTGAGCTCAAGGCCAGTGGTGGGGTCAGGTCTCCCCCCACCCCAGGAGACCCTGCTTCGTCACTGGTAAAGCTGGGACAAAAGGCACCTGGCAGGGTTCTGGGGGGGGGGGATTTAGGGTGGCAATGTGGAAGATGCCCTCTCTTGCCCACAAAACACGATCCTCTTCAGTTCTGTTCTTAGCATCACCACAGTTTGCTAGACACCCTGCATGGAAGCCCGAGGCCAGGCCTTTTCCTCCTGCCCACCTCAGCGCCCACAGCTGCTCCCGGCTCACAGCAAGCCCTTAGCAAAGATTTGTCGGCTGAATGAAGCAGCCTGGCTCACAGCGGGCATTTTTATATGGCTGCATTTGTTCCCCCAAAAAGTAGTACAGGCAGACCCCCTCCCCCAAGGGGCACAGGGCCGGTCCTGATTAGGAGGCGGCAGTTCTTGGAGGCGTGGTTAGGCTCATTCGCTGTCCCAGGCTGGAATCTGCCCTGGCTGCAGTCTTTACGTCTCTGGCCCCGCCTTCTCCCCAGCGCGCTCCCGGGAGGTTAAGGGTTAACTCTGAGAAGCCCCCTCATTACCTGGATGGGACGAGGGCAGGGCATTTCCTGTTCCATTTTCCTGGAGCCCTTCCCCAGGCTGTCCGAGGCTGACTCTGCTCCTGGGATCCTCAGAACCCCCAGCGCCTCCACCTCTGGAGTGGGACCCCAAGTGGTGAGTTTCAGGGGGGCCTGGGGTGCAAGCTGCCTGGACAGATATAAGGGGTTCATAACAGCTTGGAAAGAGAATGGGGACCCCAGGCCTCAGCGGTGGGTTGGGGGATTAGGAGATTGAAAGAAAGTCTTGGGAGACAGTGGATGGGCCATGCTGGGGAGTTCAGTGCCAGGCCTGTGGCTGTGGGGGCATCACAGGACTTCTGCGAAGTGGCCTTGCTGAACTCACTGGGGAGGGGAAGGGAAGGTCCACGTGCCCCCAGGTGGAATGACCGGCCTCATGGACTCAGCCCAGCACTAGGAAACAGCCTGGCTGACAAAGACAAGCAGCTCAGGCCCCTACCAGCTGTGCCCAGGGGGAAAGGGAGAGTTCCCGGGATGGGCCCCGCACTGGGCGCTCCTGGTGTCTGGGTGGGTCTCTTCGCTGCATTTCCAACCTGCGCCTCCGCACCTCGCTAGGCTCCAGATTGAGCTGGTCGAGTACTGGAGGGCGGCCGGAGAGCCTCCCCTCCCCCCACCTCCCCCCCACAGATGTGCATATTAACAGAGCTTTTGTCCTGGAGACGTGGGGGAGGGAGAGGCTCTGTAAAGCCCGCTTCCCCCTGAATTCCACCTCCTGCAAACCTTTTGGTGGTACATCACCTGGCCGTGCTTGCGTGTGTCTAGACCTGAGGACTGAGATGGGGAAGCCCCTTACTGTTTCTAATTCACACCCTAGTGTTCTGGCTACGATTAGGCAAATCGCGCTGGGTGGGAGGGAATTGGTTCCTTTTCTGTTTCTGAGCCTTTGCGCGGTCAGGGTCGGTGCTTCACATTGCAGCACAACTTGGCCCCGCCTGGTAAGACCCTGAGCAAGTCACCCACCCTCTCATAGCATGGTCTTTGCACTTGTGAAATGGAGAAATTATAATTTGCAGCGTGGGCTGGAGTGGGATTAAGCCACCCGAAGCAGAGAGCTCGTTCAGATTGGCCCTCAGTACCAGCCGTCCGCTACTACAGGGTCATATGTGAATTATTTTGCTCAAGCTACCAAAACACAGCGAATCAAAAACCCGTTTTCTTGAGCATTTATCACAGACCTTGTCTGCACCCGACATTTCTGCATGCATTCCTCAGTAATCACCACTGCGAGGCGGCCATTGTCACCCTCCTTTTGTTATTTCTAGTAACATACGTTGAGGTCACTTCAAGTGCTGGGTGAAGTTAGGAACAACTTCCTACTCACAGACCAAGAAGAGAAACACCCTCCGCCGTGGTTGGGGCACAGCATGACTCTGGGCAGGGACAGGGGTGGCTGCTGTGTTACGGATTCCCAGAGGAGAGGGGCCAATGGGCAGGAGCCAGTGTACGATCAGATGCCGGAGTGCAGGAGATGCTGGAAGGGGAGGTGCTGGGGGAGGGACAGAGGGTCCGGAAGAGGGGGCGCAGGCTAGAGAGACGGGGGCGGGCCTGCTCAGGTAGTCGGGATGTGGGCCTGGGTCTGTTTTAGCATCACCCCTCCTGAGGTGGAAGGTGCTAGGCGCCAGGCTTAAAAACCAGGTTTTCTCTGTTCTACCACACCCCACTCCCCCAACCTGAAAAGGAGGTTCAGAGAACTTACAGCCGGGTGTAAAGGGGGCTTAACAAACTGCCCAAAGCTCTTTACCTGGCCCCGTGGCTAAGGCTGGGTGACCTCCTCGTGCAAATGTCTGTTCCTCTGAGCCTTGGTGTTCTCAGCTGTAAAATGGGTCAGTGACGGGCCTGTTAGCTGTGGTCACTGGTGCGATGGCCCAGTAATAACGAGCTGCCTATTGGTCACAGCTCTGCCCGCCCACCCACCAGGTGTTGCCAGCTCTCCTTTTAGGTGGTGAGAAGGCTTTCTTCCCACCTGCCTGCCTCGGAGGTCCAAGGAGTCGGGTGGGGGCGCAGGTTTGGAAGAAGCTCGTTTGTAGCCCTGAGGCTGGAGAGCCGGGCAGACAGAGATGCTGGAACTTGGGTTTCCATATTCATAAAGTAACTCCTGCCTGAATTAAAATATAACAATGCCTCAACCCTCTAGACCGAAAGAATAGGCCTGTTCAGAACAATGTGAGCCTTCTGGGTTCTGCTAAAGGACTAAATTGAGTCCCTTGTGTGTGGGGCTGAACTTGAGGCAGAGCTGCTCCAAAAAGGAAGGGGTAGCCCCCCCCCAGAACCCTTTGGGGAGGGGGACTAGAGTGGGCTGGAAAGGGAGTGGAGGTGGTTGTGGGAACTGTGGAACCAGTGCCCCCTGGTGGCTAGTTAGAAACACTGTTTATTGCTAGTTAGACTCAGGGTTGGGACGGACACCTTCCAGAGGGGTAGACCAAGGAAGAATCCAGAATTTTAAAAAATTTGCAAAGCAAAGAAAATGACTGCCTCTCCTACTCATCACCCAGCTCACTAGGACGCACCTACCAGAGGCCCCTGAAGAGGGCAAGGCCACTGGCGTGCCTTGGGGACACATGTTACAAGCTCTGCCAATTGTAAGCCCTAGCCTCGCACTGGGGACCCAGCTCCTCTGCTCATCGGGGATGGAACCCAGGGAGGTGAGGAGATTGGAACAGCAGATGGGAGCTCAGCCCTGCACCGGTCAGCTTGGTGCCTTCGGCCTTCGCTGCTGAGAGCTACAAAGTGATGTCAGCATGTCTGGTCAAGGGGAGATCACACGCATGAACTTCCCGCCCAGCCACTTTATCTTTAAAATTCTCAAACTTCCAAGGAGGTTGACAAAGCATCGCGCACCCCTCCCCCATCTTCCAGTTGCTGTAATTTTGCCACATCTGCCTTGTTGACTCATAAATGTGGCTGAGTCCTCACACCCCCTCCACTTCCAAACCCGCCAACACCTTGTAAGAATAAAGACATTTCCTGCATACCACAAAACTGGGATCCCAGCTCAGAAATTAAGTCATCTCCATTATCACCTAGGAGCCATAGTCAGATTTCCCCAACTGACCCCAAAATACCTTTTAGTGCCTTTTTTTTTTAAACCAAGATCCAGCCAGTCAAGGTACCTGCAATCGGTGGGCTGTTTCCTTGGAGCAGTGCGCCCCCTGCAGGCACATTGGTTTCACCACAGGCGCTGAGAACCTGGCCCGCTGTTTCACCGAATGTCTTGGCTGCGGGGCTTATTGATTTCCTAGAGGGCTCATTTGACTTGTTTTCTTTTTTATTTTATTTTTTTTAATTTGACATGTAACACTGTGAATTTAAGACATAGCGCTTTACTTTGATACATTTACATATTGCAACATGATTGGGAGGTCCTGGTGTTCACCACAGTTAAGTAACAATAGCACAGTATTCCTGTCCCTATTCATCACAGCATGCATTAGGCCTTATTCACTACTTGTAACAAGTTTGCACACTGCAACACCGTCACTCTTACCCCCACCCACCAGCTTGTTCTTAGTCCTTGCTGCCCTTTAAACTGGAAGTTAGGTCTAAAGGTCAGATTGGATTGCAACAGAACATTTTTTGGCAAGGACCCGTCTTTGGCCGTGCCATGTACTCCCTGTGGTATGACATCAAGAGGCAGAGAAAGCCAGTCTGCCCTTAGAGATGCCAGCTTTGATCACAGGGGTACAGTGATGTGAAGTGTTAAATGCTGCAGGAGGGAATGGTAGTCCTGAACTCGCAGTCAGCTCTGCCTTCTGGTGTGTTGGTCAGGCTGAGCTCAGCCTGGGGTTGTCCTGCCCCCTGAGCCATTGCCCTGGACCAGTGCCAGAAACAATTCCTCCAGAGGTCACATCTTTAGGCATTTCTTAACACCACAGGTGTGAAGGAGAGGGAGAGACCCGAGAGTGGACCAGCTGCATGAGGCATCCCCCAGGGTCCAGGATGCTTGCAGAACCCATCCCGGCTGCACAGGAGCCCGAGCAGCTTGGAGCAGTCAAACTGGAAGAGGAGGAAGCTGCAGGCCAAGAGGACCCCAGGCGGCCAGAGGCCAGGCCCCGGCCCGAGGTGGCTCACCAACTCTTCAGATGCTTCCAGTATCAGGAGGACATGGGGCCAAGGGCGTCCCTGAGCCGGCTCCAGGAGCTCTGTGCCCACTGGCTGCGGCCAGCTCTGCACACCAAGAAGCAGATCCTGGAGCTGCTGGTGCTGGAGCAGTTCCTGAGCGTGCTGCCCCCTCACCTCCTGGCTCGGCTACAAGGCCAGCAGCTCAGGGACGGCGAGGAGGTTGTCCTACTGCTGGAGGGCGTCCAGAGGGAGTCCACCAGTGTGGGGCCGCTGGTAAGAGGGTGGCAGACAGGTGGGAAGACAGGGACTTTACCGCCCCACTAACAAGTCCCTGACATTCCACTTTTCTCCCTCCACCAGTGCTTCGCCCTCCTGAGTCCTTCCCAGGCTGACTCTCACTGTCCTCAGGCCCATTTCCCTTGGGAGGCGGTACAACCTGGATTCCCCCCATTGCCTAACATGGATGTGTTTTGAACAGGATTTTAGTTTTAATGCTGGCAAGAACTGTGCCCGTGCAGACATCACCTTGGAGCAACAGGGGGGCACTTCCCAGGTCTCCAACCACAGCCCCAAAAAGGAAGTGCCCTTGGAAGGGCCACCAGCTCTGGAACCATCAAAGGAGCTGCCACCATGCCAGCCAGGGCCCTCCAAGCCTGATGACCCAGGGACCTGGAGACATTCCCCTGGTTCAAAGCAGCCACTGAGCCCTTGTCCCACCAGGACATTCCAGGTCCTGCAAGAGAGTGGTGAGGAGCTGGTGCCCAAGGAGGTGGGAAAAGAACCGGGCAGCCATCCTAGATGACAGGGATGGGAGAGCCCGGAAGTCCCTCATGAGGCCCTGGCGATGGGTGAGGTGCTGTGTGGCCGGCCCCATGGTAAGGCTGGCTTCTAACAGCTCCTCCTTTCCCCCCCAGTGCTGACAGCCCCCCAGGGCCCCGTGCTGTGGTTGGAGGAGAACTCCCGAGATCAGGAGCTGGCTGCTGTGCTGGTGAGCTGGGCTCTGGGGCGTTCTCGTGCCTGGGTGTCCTCTGTCTCTGCTCTTGAACAAACCCATGTCTGCCTTCATTTAAGACCTGAAAGCTCTTTGTCCCCCTCAGGTCACTGAGCCCTATTCCTTACTCACCGAGAGTCTCTCCACCCCTCTCTGTTATAGGAGTCCCTGACCTTTGAAGATGCCCCAGTGAAAAAGGCTTGGCCTGTGCACCCTCTAGGTAAGAGGCCTTTCCTGAGCTTATCACCACTGCAGGCTCTTTGTGCATCAGGAATGGTCCCTGAAGCTCCAGACTTTACCTTACCCTGTGGCCTCTGGCTGAAAATGGGCTAATTTCATGAGGTCATATCTGTTTATCTACATTATGTATGTATGTGCACACACACAGACACATACATGCATAGATCTTAAAGGCCTGTTGTGTCTGGTCTAACCGACCCAGTTGACTGATGTTTAACTATGTGGTGGTGGGAGTGCTTGATGATGGGGTGGGGTTTCCATTTGGGGGACTGACAAGCTTCTGGCCCAAGATAGTGGTGACAGTTGCACAACATTGTGAACATACCCAATGGCCCTGCATTGTACACTTTAAAATATTACAGTGGCAAGTTGGATGTCATTTCTTTTTTTACCCCCACTCCCTGCCCACCCACCAGCTTTGCAGGATCCAAAGGATTTCTTTCCCACTTGCAGGTAATGAGGTTCTGGCTGTTCTTAGGAGCCCCTTGGAATAGGCCTAACTGCCCCTGTTTTTTGCTGCTTTCCCAGGATTTGGAAGCAGAACCCCTGAGGAGGAGGTTAAAGAAGAAGAGCCCAAAGGGGTTGCCTGGCCCGTTGTCATCTCAGCAGAGTCTGGAGTCCATAGTCCCAGCGTGGCAGAAGAGCCCCAGGGGCAGTCGCTGGGACGCGGCCCTGAGGTAGACGCCTCCGGTCGTGAAGGCGACGGCAGGAGTGACGTTCCACAGGTCAAAGTGGCCGGGGGGACCCCCCAACCGGAGCCGCAGATGGAGTTCATCTGCACAGAGTGCGGGGTGAGCTTCCGGCAGCTGGCCCGCCTGGCGGCACACCAGCTCCGCTCCCACCCAGGCACGCGCTCCTTCTCGTGCGAGCGCTGCGGCAAGAGCTTTGGCCGCAGCTCCATCCTCAAGCTGCATATGCGCACGCACACGGATGAGCGGCCGCACGCCTGCCACGTCTGCGGTCACCGCTTCCGCCAGAGCTCGCACCTGTGCAAGCACCTGCAGACGCACTCCGCCAAGCCCGCCTTCCTGTGCGCTGAGTGCGGCCAGGGCTTCCAGCACCGGGCCAAGCTCCTGCAGCACCTGCTGGCGCACGCCAAGACCGAGGGCACCAACACCAAGGACACCAAGACGGAGGCGAGTGAGCTGGCCGTCGTCCTGTGCTCCCACTGCGGCCAAACCTTCAAGCGACGCTCCAGCCTCAAGCGCCATCTGCGGATCCATGCCAAGGACAAGGGCCACCAGTGCTCTGAGTGCTTGGGCAGCCTGCGCCCAGGCCCCGAGAGCAGGCCCTACGTGTGCGGCGACTGCGGCAAGGCCTTCCGGCGGAGCGAGCACTTGGGGGCCCACCAGCGCGTGCACACAGGCGAGCGGCCTTTCTCCTGCCAGGTCTGCGGCCGCAGCTTCAGCCAGAGCTCCCAGCTGGTCTGCCACCAGCGCGTGCACACGGGCGAGAAGCCCTACAGCTGCACGCACTGCGGGAAGCGCTTCGTTCGTCGGGCGGGCCTCGCCCGCCACCTGCTCACCCATGGCGGCTCGAGGCCCCACCACTGCACCCAGTGCGGCAAGAGCTTCAGCCAGACGCAGGACCTCACCCGCCACCAGCGCAGCCACACCGGCGAGAAGCCCTGCCGCTGCAGCGAGTGTGGTGAGGGCTTCAGCCAGAGCGCCCACCTGGCGCGCCACCAGCGCATCCACACGGGGGAGAAGCCCCACGCCTGCGACACCTGTGGCCACCGCTTCCGCAATAGCTCCAACCTGTCCCGCCACCGCCGCAGCCACACAGGCGAGCGACCCTATAGCTGTAAAACTTGCGGCCGGAGCTTCCGGCGCAATGCGCACCTGCAGCGGCACCTGGCCACCCACGGGGGAACTGGGAACCAGGCCGTGTCCGGGCAGGCCGAGCCCCCCCAGGAGTGCCGGGAGTGCGGCAAGAGCTTCAGCCGCAGCTGCAACCTGCTGCGGCACATGCTGGTCCACACGGGTGCCAGGCCCTACTCATGCCCGCAGTGCGGTCGCAGCTTCAGCCGCAACTCGCACCTGCTGCGCCACCTGAGAACCCACGCCCGGGAGACCCTGTACTAGCTTCGCGCGCATGCGCCGGCCCTGTGCATATCCCCCGCATCCCCTGACCCCACCCCTCCCTTTGGCTCCAGCAGCCCTGCCTGTTAGCTCTGCCCCACCCCAGAGGCATCTCCTCCTGGCCATGGGAATGTATTTCAAAATGCCCGAGGTAAAACAGCCTTCTTGAAAGTGGTCCCCCTTTATTTTTTTGAGTTCACGAAAATGCCACTTGTTAACTCTCCCTCCACTGTATCACAGGGCGCCCTTCTTCCCATCCCAGCACCTTCAATAGGCTAGATGCCAGCAGGCCTGGGGGAGTGTCCCCATCCCAAAAAGGCCCGGACTTGGGGTGTGACAGGGTTGTCATCTCAGAGCCTGCTATGGGTAAAGCCGAGGAATTTCACCCCGCAATTTTTTCTTCGGGAGTCTACCCCTGATCTGGGCCGTCCAATACGATATCCTCTAGCTGTAGGTAGCTTTTTAAAATGTACATGAATTAAAATGGAATTAAAGTCAAAACCCCAGATTCTGATCATGCGAAACGTCTCGGTTTGGAATATTGATAACTAACGCAAATTGAAAATGTCAGCTGCTGAAATGACACCCGCCTGCAGCCTCCCGACTGTCAGCTGAGGAGTCCTGAGCACCACAGCCCTCGGAACTTGAGGTGACCGTGGCGCACTGCCCCACCCTCCTCCAGCAGGCAGTCTTGGCTGGCCGCCTGCTCCGGTGGACGGATTTATTTAAATCATGTGACTTAAAAGAAGTTAACTTATCCACTGAGGATTAAGGGGCTCAGGAGATCCTACCCCATGTCTGGGGAATGTAGAGGAGGTTCTGGGTGGGAAAGGCTCTGAGCTTGAGGGAGGTCCAGCCCTCTTGGGATTGGAAGACAGGTACAGAGAGTCACCAGATGCCACAGAACAAATTAGACTCAGGGAAGAAAATTTACCAGAGGAAAGATCACCAAAGAGATTGAGTGTGAGGAGCCGGGAGAACCTACAGCATTTAAAGGCTTTATTATTTCGTGAGCACCTCCTGTGTACTCAGGGATGTGCCAAGTTACTGAGAGCAATAAAAGGAAGAGGCAGCCTTGAAAGAATAGGGGGAAAGGCATGCCAGGCAGAGGGAACAGCATGTTCAAGGGCACTGAGATGAGAGGAGCTTGGAAGTTAGCTGGAGAATATTCCCTGGTGTGGGGACATCTGTGGAGGCCCTGATGATGCAGACAGGGCCTTGGAAGCCAGGGTAATGGCTTGGAAGCTTATTAATGGAAAACGGAGGATTTGAGATGGAGTTACTTAACTTTTAATGAATCATCTTTCCCTTGGCTGCTGGATGGATATAGTTTGAAAGGGGCAAGATTGGGGAGACCAGCGAGGTAGATGTTAAATAGTTGTCCACACTTGAGTTGATGGTGACCCCAAGGGTGCAGTGGGGTCACAAAAGCCACTGCTGACTCCAGCACAGGATGGAGGGAGACAGAGCTGGAGGTCTGACATGGCCACTTGTGAAATGCAGGGCACAGCCTGAAAGAACGTGGATGCTGACTGGGAGGTGAGGCATGGATATGGCCAAAGAGAAACGAAGGCTGCGTCAGGACCTGGCAGGCGGCGGCCCCTCAAGCCAGGAACTCAGGCCCGAGGTGGGCCTTTCGGGGTAAAAGGCTGGCAAGGGGTCGCCTCCAGGAGGGTGTCTCCCTGAGGCCGCCTGGCTGTCACTCTTCTCTGCAAAAGGAGCTCCCACACTGGGCTGCTTCCTCCTTCGGGAAGGAAGGGGGCAGGGCTGGTAGGAGGAGGCCCCTCTCCCCAGCCCCTTTCCTCTGGGGCAGGAGTTGAGAGCAAGCAGTGCCCCTTGGGATGGTCGTGGCCATGGTCCTACCGTTGCCTCCTGCTGGCCCCAGCGGGATGGGCTTTCTAAGAATCAAGAGTTTGTTCCTTTGATCCAAAAATGTCTAAAGAAGTGCAGACAAGGGAGTGAGATGCTGACCCACGGAAATGAGGAAATGTCCCCAGTCCTTGAGGCCTCCTGGCTCTCACCCCCTCTCCAAATGCCCGTCACAATCCCTTGTCCTCCTCCCCAGACAGCAGGCCTGCCCTGCAGTACAGATCTGGGAGCTTTCCCTCTGCTTGTGGGTTCCCACCGCCCCCTGCCCCGCCCCCAGCAGGCTCGGGCCCACCCAGCCCTCCTCCGCTGGCTCAGCTCTCAGCTGCACAAACTGGTCTGCGCCTCTGCAGGAGGCAGGAAGCCAGAGGGCAGGACAGGGTGGAGCTTGTGTGTGCTGGGGGTAGGATCTGGCCTCAGATATGCCGAGCAGGACCTTGCTCTGGGCCCTCCCGGAAATCTCCGGCATCTGCAAGCTGAGGGGCCCCAGGCTGGAGATCTGCCTCCTCCACCTCCCTACTGGGCCTTCCGACCTGGCCAAGATAGGGGTGCACCCTCCCTGCCCGCTCTGCCCAGTTCCAGGCCTCTAAGTTCGGAGAACGACCAAGGAGGTTCAGAGGGCACAGTGCAGCTCAAGTGATGAAGGCCAGAAAGGGAAGTCAGAAAAAGAAAAGAAAGGGCCAAAGCCACCCAGGCCTGGCTCCCTGCCACCCAGGAAGAAGCATTTATTGAGCACCAACTGTACCAGGCCTCACAGCAAATCCATAACCACTTGTGACCAGTGTCCCATTTGCAGATTAGAAAGGTCAGGTGGCTTGTCCCTGCTCCCCCAGAGCTTGACTCCACCTGACACACAGCCCCTGTAACCACAGGCCACCCTACCTGGTGTCAGCTTCTCTTAAGAAACCACAGCCGTGGCCATAGGTCAGACTGGAAAAGGAACCCAGGCAGGGAGGGCTTGGCGAGACCTGGATGATACCCCCAGACAGCTGTGCCACTGAGGAACAGAAACTTCAGTGCGTGGCCGACGGCCTCCAACAAACTGCAAGGCCTGCAGGCCGGCAGCCACCTTCTGCAGCCAGGCCAGGGCATTCCACCACCTCTGCAGCAGCTTTTGAAATGACCTCAGGACCCAATCCCAAAAGGTGTCCCCGGCTCTCGCGCTGCCAGCCCCTCAGGTTCCTGGGCACCAGTGCTCTGGACTCTGTGACAAATTTCCTGCTTGGTTTTATCAAGTAAGGGAATGGATTCCTGCACAGATGGGGCATGCAGCCCCGGGTCCTGACTCTGGCCAGGCCTCCAAGCCCTCATGAGAGTCTGGGAGACTGACACCCACACATGGAAACTGCCCGTGCTCCTGCCAACAGCTCCATGCACACAAGGACTTTTCCCGGAGGCTCAGCCCCTCAGTTCCCCTCTGTGCCAGAAACCACAGGGGCTGATGTTCGCTGATTGGCGTCTGAGCTCAGCATCAGGCTCCCAGGCTCACCATGTGCAGAACTGAGGGCAGGGCTCTGGTGACTGTGTGCTGGGTGGGGAGGCCTGTGGCTAGAAGGCTGCCACCTCCCGAGCTCCCTGGGGTGCCCCTCCACTCCCTGCTCGGCAGGCTGTGTGCACGCACAGCGGTACCAAAATCCAGGGAGAAGCGGTAGGGGAAGCCAGGTGGGCTGAGACTCACCAGGCCGTTCTGACACTCACGATGCGGGTGGTCCAGCAAGGTCCTGCTGATGCTCTCCTGGGAAAGGCGGGTCAGGGCTCCAGACCCACCCCTGCTGCTGCAGTCTGAGTCCCTGCTGGGGCCCCCACGGGTCCCAGGTGAGTCACGGGGGAGCCAGGAGCGCAGACTCAACAATCTGGCCACGTGGAGCTCCTGGAGACAAGTTTTGGAGGAGGGGCAAGGCCAAAACTCACCTTGAGCTTTGCCTGGGCTGCCTTCCCCTGGGGGCAGAAATCCTGAGTTTGCATCCCACCTCTCAGTCTCAGCCTTCTCCTCAGCTCACCCCTCCCGACTACTCGGTCTGGCCAGGTGCCAGGGGGCCTGGGGTCTGGCATCCCTGCTCTGTCATCATGTGCCCTATGTGGCTCCTCCCCCATCTCCCTGGGCTTCCATCCCCCAGCCCGTGCTCTCACTCAGGTGAGAGCTGGGAGGTGAGTGGGCTGCAAGGACTGGACCAGGGTAAGGAGTGAGCCCTCCCGAGGTGGCACCTTCTTCACGACCTGCAGCGTGAAACCACCCCGTCTGACCCAAACTGCAAAGCACGGGGGTGGGTGCGCAGACCCACCCGTTCTTTTTTTTTGTAGACCTCGTAGTTTATCCAATAAGTCATTTACCAGCCTTGCTGTGAAGAGAGGGCAGAGCTGGGTCACGGCGGCCTGACCTTCCTCCCTCCGGGGCCCCAGGTGACCGGGAACCCCCTCAGCCCACACCACAGAGCCCAGGCCTCTCTCAGTCTCCCCAGCCCTACATGGGGAGCACTCAGGCCTATGTGACACACACGCACACACACACACACGGTGTGCAGGGTCAACTTTATTCCCATTTTCCTGACCCTCTGTGGCCTCGGGCTGCGTCCTTTCCCCTCTGAGGCGGTGACAGATGCAGTGGAGCCTGCAGAAGCTGCTCCTCCCAAATGCTGACCCTGAAGCCCACGCTCACTCCCCCCCCATATGAGGCTTGCCCAGCAGAAGATGCGCCATAGACTCTGTCCCAGGTCTCAGCCTCACGGCCCATCTGGTGCTACGCATGTGGCTTCTGGATCACTGGGCAGTCAGGGGCACTCCAGGGTATGCAGGGCCCCGGGCAAATATGTTGCAGGGCACTTGTCTATGCACTTGGAGTTGGCGATGGTACATGCTGCCAGCCCAATGTCACAAAAAATAGGACAAAAGAAATACCGTGCCAGCCCGTGGGAAGCAGCTGCTCACCAGGTCACCTTCCTGAACCTGGCCTGATGGCTGAGCCCTGAATCACTCCACAGCCCTATCACCATACATCCCAGAGTGCCCTGGGGCTGGGGTGGGAAAAATGGGAAGGTGGGGAGGCTGGAGGGTACCCCAAAAGGGAGGAAAAGACATTGAGGTCAGTGCCAAGTCCCGGGCTGCCAGTTAGGAGCCTCAGAGGACTTTTCAAACTTTCCAGGAAAGCATCGCCCACCCCCACCTGTCGGGTCTCCAGAGTATAAATAATGGGTCTCCTCGGACTGGTGTTTCTTCTGACCCTCCAGACCCACCATCCCCAGCTCCTCCCACAAACAAGTTAGGTCTAATTCCTAAAGGGACACCATGTCCCATAAAGCTTATTGTTCCTTGGAACCCCAGTACACACACCTCTCCTAACACACACACACTCAAAAGCACACACACAGAGAGCTGCCCCACCCCCATAATTTGCCTCCCAGACAGGAATTCTAGCCCCCTCACCAGGCCCTGTTTTATCAATTGAAGAGCTCAGATCAATATAAAACCATGGGGCTATTTGTCAATAATTATTCAGACCAAATAATTATTTCAGGATGGCGATAGCAGAGTACTGGACCAACCAAGCTCAGGGCCATTATGAGACTGGGCTCTGGTGACAGGGAGAATGGAACAGGGCCAGGTACATGCAGAGGAATCGGGAGGCAGGGGGAGAGCGCTGGTGGGATGGGGGGACATGCAGCCGGGAAATGGGACCCCTCACTCACTGTCACTCCGTCTGACAGCAATGAGCTCATGACTGCTCAGGGTTCCTCGGGGTGCAGCCTGGTGGGAGGCACAGGTGTGAGGACAGATGTTCCGATGCAGCTTGCCCACCACCCGCAAGGCCCTTTGGCCACAGCTCCCTCCACAAGCCACTCACCTCTCAGATCCTCCCAGCACTGAGCCCTAGCTGGGGTTACTGCTGTGGCAGCGCGGGGAGACCAGCCCGTTTAAAGGAGAGGAGGAAGGGGAGGGGAGAGTAGGACCTGCACTGGAGCCCAATGCAGGGCTCACACGTGTGTGTGTGTGTGTGTGTGTGTGTGTGTGTGTGTGTGTGTGTGTGTGTGTGAGACACACAGAGACAGAGGAACAAAATGTAAGGCACATTTCCTTGGTGAAATCTCAGTTGGGTTAGCTGGAGCTCAGCTAGTGTCTCCCTGCCCCCCTTAGGAGCCCCCTCAATAGTCTGAAACCCCCTTTACACACCTGGGGGTCCAGACCCTTCCCTGAGCCCACTGAATTTCAGGGTCGGAGAGGGAAGGGAGCTGCCCCTGCTTCAGCGGCAAGTCATGCATCTGGGCTTCCTTTCCAGAGCCTGGCTCCCTGAGCCACGCGGCCCTGGGCCCTCCGGCACTGTCTCCCAAAGTCCGCCGTCTGAAACCGTTTTGTGTTTCATGCAGACTGTGCCATTTTCTTCACAGCTTTGCTGAGATACAACTCATGTGCAATATAATTCACCCATTAAAGTGCACAATGCAGTGTGCAGAACTGTTCACCCATTAGCACAGTTTCAGATCATTTTAATCACCTCAAAAAGAAATTCCATACCCCTTAGCTAGCACCCCCCCCCGTGCCCACAGCGCCACCCCCACAGGCCCAGACTTTCACTCTCAGTCTCTATGGATTCTCCTGCTGGACATTTCACATAAAGGCTCACATGCGACCTTTTGTGTCTGGCTTCCTGCCCTCAGCACTTCAGCATAGAGTTTCCAATTCACCCACGTGGTAGCATGTCCCAGGGCTTCATCCCTTTCTGTGGCTGAATAATATGCCACTGTGTGGCTAGACCACATGTTGTTTATCCATTCTTCTATTGATAGACATTTGGGTTGTTTCCACCTTTTGGCTACTATGAATAATGCTGCTGTCAACATCCATGTGCAACTTTTGTGTGGATGTGTTTTCTTTCGTTTCTCTTGGGTATATACCTAAGAGTGGAATGGCTGGGTAATATCATATCATAACTTTATTTTCAACTTTTTGAGGAAATGCCCAACTATTTTCCAAAGCAACTGCACCATTTTATATCCCAGCAGCACGTGTAAAAGTTCCAATTTCTCCTCATTGACACTGTTACACCTTTTTGATTCTAGCCATTCTAGTGGATGTGAAACAGTTTCCCATTGTGGTTTTCATTTGCGCTTTCCTGTGACTTATCGTGGGGGGCATCTTTTTATGTGCTTATTGGCCATTTGTTTATCTTAGAGAACTGTGTCCTCTCATCTTTTGCCCATTTTTAAATCAGGTTATTTGCTATTTTATTATTAAGTTACATGGGTACTTTGTATATTCTGGATACAAGTCACTCGTCAAATGTATCATATGCAAATACTTTCTTCCATTCTGTGGGCTGTCTTTTCACTTTTTTGATGGTGTCCTTTGAAGCACCAAAGTTTACATTTTTGATGATGCGCCTGTAACCATTTTTTAAACAAAATTAATCAATTTGACATGGCATTTTTCTGTACTCGACTTGACAGGTTGTTAAAGACTGGAGAAGTTTCCATGGAGCAATGAAAGCAGCCTCCAGTTTCACACTGGACACCCTTCTCTGCACCCCCCTAAGTTATGGTTTCCTCCCTTTGCTTCCTCCTCCTGATCACTGTCCCTACCCCCCTCCCACCTCCACACCCCCCACCTCCACACCCCCCACCTCCACACCCCCTTGCAGCCTGGCAACTCTGGATCACAACTTCTGCAGAACAAAATAGTTCCGGTCTGGCAAGTTCCTGCCACCCCAGGTCCATTCGTGCTCAGAAGAAATGAAAAACTTTCTTTCCAGTTGTTTTTATTGTCTTTCTAGCTGGGACTGAGCTTTTAAAAGACAAGTTTCCCCCTCCTCATACTTCAAAAGGATCCTGACAGAGGCCCAGATTTCTGGTCTTCTGGCGGCTTAGAACTCCCAGGTCACAGGCTGGCTGAAGATGCCTGGCTGGTGCCCTCAGGCTGGTCTACGTGTTGGGGCCAGTGGCAGGGGGTGTCTGCTCCCTGGGACCACAGCCCACAGCTGAGCTCTGGGCAACGCCAAGGCTGGATGGCAACCCAAGAAGCGGCAGCTAAGTGCCTCCACTCATGGGCTGTGGACCCCTCTCCACCAAGGCCGTCAGCCTGGTTCTGTAGAAAACAGGAAGCTTGGCCCCCAGGAGGGAGAACATGGCAGACCCAGAAGAACTGCAAGGCAGAGATGGCGCCGTCCAGGCTCCCCTGCCCATCAGGGCCAAGATAGGTGATGCAGACTCTCGGCCCCACTCCCAGGGTGGGGAGTCAGGGTGAGGTTCCCTGGGTGATTCTGAGGTGGAATATTCCAGAAACGTGGTTCCAGAGACACTGATTCAGCTCCTGAATTCTGAGGGGTTTGGGGGTGAATGAGATGGCCCATGTTCCACCCCCTGAGTGCTGAGGAGGCAGGGACCCCAGATTGAGAGGGAACTCAGTCCACTGTTTTTCCACCAGCACTGAGGGGGGCCAAGTTCTCTTTGCAGGGTGGCGGACCATCCAGGGTGGAGGAGCCCGAGGAGTTCTAAGGCTAGGAGAGTGTCGTATTGAATGGGAGCAGTTCTGTGTCAGCGTGGTGACCAGATACGAGGTCCACAGCCAGGTTGTGGACGGTCATCAGTGTGGCCCTGCTGTCACCCAGGACATGGGGCACCGGTGTTCCGGAGGGTCTCAGGGCAGGCCCGGGGTCCCCAGGCCCCTGTGGCATGGGCTGGGACATGGTGGAAGCAGCACAGGATGAGAAACATCTGGGAACTCAGAGCAGCGGCGGAGAAAGGGGCTGGGGTCCATTTCCCCGGTCAGGCCCATCCTCTGAAGCCCCAGACAGCCGAGAGCAGCTGTGTTGCGTGGGGCTGGGCAATAGGGGGTCACCCAGCTGGGCTCCGAGAAAGTCTAGCTGTTCCGGGAAAAGCCGAGGCCAGGCGGCAGAGCTCCGGGCCGCGCGGCCCACCCCCGCCGGGCCTCAGCGAGCAGCGGCGCCCCCCAGCAGCAGGGGCCCGAGGGCCAGCAGGAGGGGCCGCGCCGGCCGCCCCGCAGCCCGGCTGATCTCGCACTGACACTCGCAGGTCCCCGGCTGCGCGGTCGCTTTGGGGGGCCTGGGAGCGCGCGGGCCAGCGCTGGGCGCCGGGCAGTCCAGCCACGTGGGGCCCATGGGCTGCGGGGAGTCCGGCTCCGCCTTGACGCTGCCCTTGGGAAAGCGCCAGTAGTGGGCGCCCTTGAAGAAGTAGGTGTCACCTGCGGGGAAGGAGGCGCTCGCGGCTGCCCTGGCCCGCCTGCGCCCGCCCGTCGCGCCCCCGGGCCCCCGGCCTCCCCCGCCCTCCCACCTGTGTTGCTGACGGTGACGTCGTCGGGGGCGGCGGGCGCCCCTTCCCAGAGGCCCAGGTCGCGCGGGTAGCCGGGGTCGGCGCGCCCCGCCGCCTCGTCGAACCGCCAGTAGCGCTGGCCCCGGACCAAGTAGGTCTTCCCGTTCAGCGGCCACGAGAACACGGCGTCCACCTCCTCCCCCGGCGGCAGCCCCAGCTCCTCCAGCGGCCGCGGGGCGCCCTCCAGCCGCCGGTCCTGGAACACCCAGAACCGGGGGCCTGCCCCGGGGCCGCCGCGTGAGCCCCGCGCCCGCGCCCGCCGGCCCCGCCCCGGGCCCCACTCACCGCTGAAGAGGAGGATGCGGCCGTCCCGGGGCCTGGCGTAGGCGGCCTGGACGACCCGCACCTGCGCGGGCAGCCCCTCCCAGAAGCGGTGGAGCCGCGCGGGCCGGGGGGACACCAGCTGCCCTGAGGGCTGGAGGCGCCAGAACCAGGGGCCTGTGGGGGCGGAAGGCGCGGGCATGGGAGGCCTTCTCCCCGAGGGTGGGGGGTCGGGACGCAGTACCGGGTCCCCCCGACGGCCGGGGGGGGGGTGGTCCGTCCATCTGGAACCAAGGGAGCCCGGCGGGCCTGGGACAGTCCCTGTTCCGGCACTGAAAGTGCCGCGTCCCGGGACACCCCACGGTCCAGTGGGCCACCCCAACCGGGAAGGAAGCCAGTTATGTGAGGTCAAAGGAGATCCGAAGGGACGCACCTTTGAAAAAGAAGATTTCGCCACGGATGTTGGCGATGGCGTCAAAGTTGCCTTCACACCGATTGGGGACAGGGAGGGGGGTGCTGTGGAGGCCAGGAGAGGAGGACAGAGGGCTCGAGTCTCCTGCCTCTCCATCCCGAGGACAGTCCCCCAAGGCAGGGACTCTAACCACGCTCATCTCACCCTGGAGGGCACAGAGGTTAGGGGCTCACCGAGGTCCCACGGCTGGAGGGGGCTCACCTGTCCGGGGGCAGGGCGGGGGGCGGCGGCGGGGGGGCCAGGGGTTTCCTTGTGGGCCTGTCAGATGGGCTGTGGGGCGCCTTCCCTGTGGAGAGAGTCAGAGAGGCCTGGGTTCCCTGACCCTGCGGCCTGGGCACAGGGCGAGCCCCCCCACTTTTTGTACCATAAAGCTGCTGCAGGCCTTCACGGTCATCCTGGGACAGGCGGTACTTGTCAGGGTTGCCCACTGGGCCCTGGTAAAAGGGCCTCATGATGGAGTCGGGCGCTGAGGAGTGGCCCAGGCCCAGGGCGTGGCCAAACTCATGGACGGCCACAGCGAACAGGTCTGTGCCCTCTCCATCTGGGGAGAGAGGCAGAGAGGGCTGGAGCCATGGCTCCCTAGAACCAGGAAAGGGGGCAGCCAGGAAGAGGGAGTGACAGCCAGGAGACCCTCAAAAAGTGGCCCCAGCCCGCTCCACCCAGACCCCTTCCTGAGCCATTTCATCCTTCTGGTATGCATTCACCTTGTCAGGAAATATTTCAGAGTGGTCTGGATTGGCAATGCTAGACCCGGGGGTAGAGGGCTGCAGAGACCCACAAAACAGGTTAGGGAGACTGCAGGCAGGACCGTAGGGACAGAGGGAAGGGCAGCCTTACACCAATATAGCCCCTGCCCCCAGGAAGGGAAGGCTGTGCATACAGAGACACCCTGGGGGAAGCAGGAGCTTGGGGGTGTAGGCAGGTCTCTAGAGGAAGCCCCAGCCCTTGGGGCACCCCTACCCCCCAGCTCCGGAGGCCAGGGGCCCCGCCCTCAGGAAACGTTTCTGGTCTCCTCAGGCTCAGCCCCCAAGACCTTCCCTCTGCTCCCACCTCCGTCCTTCCCCCAGAGCCACACCCCTCTGGTGCCTAGGACCCCTCTCCTCTGGCCCTTCCGCAGTTCCCCTCCCCCAGCCTCCTCCGACACAGCCCCAGCCAGCACTCTGCAACCACAGCCTGCTGGCCCCGTGCCCACCTCGCTCCCAGCCCCCTGGCCACAAAGGCCTCCTCTTTGGAGATGCAGCCGGGCGCCAGCAGTGAGTCTCCTCACACTCTTGGTTGCTGGCAGAACCCAGCCCCCAACTGATCCGCCTGCTGCCTTGCTTCTACTCCTGTGAGAGGCCAGAAGAGATGGAGGCAGAGAGCTGGTGAGAGGCCAGAAGAGACGGAGGCAGGGACAGCGAGAGGCAGGCAGTCCCCTGGGAGGTGTGGACTTCCCCAGATTTTGATCTACTTCATGGAAATCTCTAATTAGGGTCAGCAGTGCTGCAAGTGGGATCATTGGAAGTGACCTGGTGAACTGAAAAGCGGATCTCTGTGCCCCTCAGGCCCCTAGATGAGGATCTAAGAATGAAATGCATGAGTCTTAAGGAGAGTAGCAAACACCTGTCTTGCTTTGCTTCTCACAAACCCACCTTACAGGCCAGGAAACTGAGGCACAGAGATGTCAAGTTATACGCAAGAGCTGGGACTCTGGGGCCGAGTACTCTGGGTTTTCTTACTTCCCTGAGTCCCTTTTCTGAGAAACTGGAGGAAGTTTAGTGTCTAAATCAGGTAGCTGCTTTCCTCCCTTGCCCCCTCCCGGGCTCGCCGCTCCCCGGGTCACACCCCTTCCTGGCACACTTCTCACGCTATGTATGCAGCTGGCAAATTTCATAACTGTGCAGACCCAGGCCCTGAAGAGTCCGGCCCGCAGTCTGTGGGCGCCATCTCATCTCCGCCCCAGGACAGACAGACGCCGTGTTCTCTCCCCTGGGCTCCGGTTCCAGCCCATAACCTTTCAAGCTGCTCCCGGCCGCAGCCCCCAGCTCTTGAAAGACAGATGCTGACAAATTTCACATCCTATTTCATCAATACAGGTCGTCCAGTCTACTGTGTAACTTCCTGTGCACAGGGACAGATAACTTCACCTCCCCCCATGCTCACCTCCTGCCTCCGGCCTTGCCCTCTGCTACGAGGCTGCCTCACTCACCCCCCCCAGGACAGGGAGCATGCCCCACCCGTCCCCCCAACCCTGCGTCCACCCCGCCTTCTTCCTCTTGCCTCATCCAGCGACCCTGCGTGCGCTGGATCCCCTCATTCTAAGACATCCCCAGGCCTGGCCCGCCCCCTTCCGCACCCCTCTTCTCGCCCAGCCAGTTCTCCAGTCAGTCTTCACTTCCTCAGCCCCTCTCACGCCTAACCCCACTGTGGTCTGGATTCTTCCCCCGCCCGCTGAGCCCGCAGGCACTGAGGTCACTTGGTCCCCAGATGACTGAATCCAGGCCCCGTAACTTACTGGCCCTGCCTGCGGCCTTGCCCACTGCTGGCCACTTCTTCCTTTGCTCTTGTTCTGTTCTGTTCCTTCTCCATTTCCTTGAGTGCTCGCCCCCCACCCCACCGCCACCTTCCCCTTTACTGTGGGCTCTCCTTGACCTTCTCCACTTACCAACTCCGCTTACCAAGTATGGTGACTCTCAATATCTGCCACCGGGCCCAACCACAGCAGCTGGCAGAGAATGGAGTGCCGCTCCATGCCAGGCCCTGTGCTGACAGCTGTAGGCGAATCACTCATTTAACCCGCAAGCCCACACTGCCAGCAGGCACTACCACTATCCCCATTTCTCAGATGAAGAAACTGAGTACATTTAGGTCAAGGAACCTACACAAGTAGCAGGCAGAGGACCCTGGCTTAATAAATGCTGCATTCACAGCCTTGCCAAGTCCTCCACAGGGCCTACGTGCCCACGCTGTGGCTACCCCTCCCCAGAAAACGGCTCTCCTTCACCGCCCAGATTCAGCTCACAGCCAATGGCTGGTTGATAAGGGACCAGAGTTGCGGGGTCCCAGCCCACAGGCAGCACCAACTCAGTGGCGCTGTTGATGCTCCTGAGCTCCCAAGGGGGACAGGCCCCTCTCCAGCTGAGCCCACATCCTTGCTGAGCTTCTTTCCCCAGTCCTCTCCCGCTTCCCTTTTCCCTAAGAACGTGCCCCTGAGAAACTACTTGCACAAGAATTTCCATCTCAAGCCCCCTTCTGGGGAGGCTGAGCCAGGTTAGAGGAGCCCAGAGCAAGATTCTCGCCCACCTACACATTGCCTGCACTCAGCCGCCTGAACCCAGCCCTGCCTTCTGAGAGCCTGCCCTCCTCCTCCGACCTGCACTGGCAGGATGCCCTCCTTCAGGCACCCCACCCCAAAACAGTCGCTCCACCCTCCCCATCCCCTTTGCCCCCAGGGTCCAGTCAGATCCCATCTCTGCCCATCCTGACCACTGCCCTCCTCCCGCGTCACCCACCATGGTCTCTCACCTGGACTTCCTGTCCCCCTGCCCCTCTTGCCCCTCACCACAGCCAGTGGTATTTCTAGAATGCAGAACCTTCCAGGCATCCCACTGCCTTCAGCATCCTGCTGCCCCACTCCTCCCGGTGCTCCCCAAGGCCCCTTGTGGTGTGAGTTGACGGGCCATCCTCTACAGTCTCCCTCCTGACCTATTTTGCCATCCGGCCCCAAATGTCCCAGGCTGTTTGTCACCCCCCTGCTGTCACCCTGAGCACCTTGGACTCAGCTAGCTCACCGGCTTGTGCTTCCTTATGTGGCCCACCCCCACCCTGTGCACTGTGTGTGTGTGTGTGTGTGTGTGTGTGTGTGTGTGTGTGTGTATATGTGTAAATATATATAATGAACAAAGTCATCCCTTCCAGGAAGACCCCCTCACTCAAGAGCTTTGGGTTGGCCTTTCCTCTGAGCATCCACAGGCTCAAGGACTTCCTCTGCTGTGATTCCCTGTAATTGTGTCACCCTGTGTAGCAACTGCGGGTTATTCTTGTGACTCAGCTGCTGGACGGAGCTGTGTCTTGCCTCTCTCAGTACCCAGCCCCACCTCAGAGCTGAGCACCCGACAGACCTCTGTGATGGATAATTTTTTTTATCAGTTTGGCCAGACTATGGCGCCCTGTTGTTTGGTCAGACACCAGTCTAGATGATGTCACTGTGGAGGTTACTTTGCAGATGTGATTAACATCTACAATCAATTGACTGTAAGTAAAGCAGATTATGCTCCACATGGTGGGTGGGCCTCACCTAATCAGCTGAAGGTCGTAAAAGCAAAAACAGGTTTCCCAGAGAAGAAGGAATTCTCCCTTAAAATCACGGTCTAGAAATCCTGCCTGGGCTTCTGGTCTGCTGGCTTGTCCTGCAGATATTGGACTCAAGAGTGCAACATCAAATCTCACCTGAATTTTCAGGCTGCAGGCCTGCCCTACAAATTTTGAGCCTGCCAGACTCCACAAACCCATGAGCCAATTCCTTAAAATAAGTCATTATACACACACACACGTACACACACACAACCTACTGGGTTCTGTTTTTCTGGAGAAGCCCAACTGATACAGCCTACATCAATAAATGTATTTAAATGCAATTCTTAAGGATAGACAAACTTAGGAGAGGACCTCCCAGGAGAGGGGAGATGGTACCTTTTGACCCAAAAGTCCAGGTCTCCTCATCATCGAAGTGAGTGTCCCCAGAGATGGAGTGCTCTCCGGGGAAGAAGGCATGGGCTAGGGTGCCCCCCTGCCCGTCGAAGGGGTAACTGTCCTGGTGGTATGCCCGGGCAAAGTCGATGAGGATGTCAGGCTCTGCTGGGCCCTGAGAACCCGCCTCCTGGAATTTGAGGCCTGACTCAATGCCCCAGGTGGCCAAGGCATGGTACATGAGGGTCCGCACTGTCTCCTGGCTCAGGGCTGAGCTCTGGGGGAAGGAGTGTACCCTGGAGAGAGAGGAGCAGGGAGAAGGGTGGCCAGGGAGACAGAAAGCAGCCCCTCAGAGCTGGGCCCAGCCCGCAGCCCGGGGGTGGAGGGGTGGGCACCAGGATCCACCTCCATGTCAGGGTTCGCTTCTTCCACACGCTACCACTCAGAGCATATCTGCGGCGACGCCTGACCAGCCCTGCCACGCCCAGCACGTCGGGCAGGGAGCAGCGGGGCTTATTCATGGTGGCCACCGTCACTGGGTCTGTGAGAGAGGTTGTAAGAGAGGCGGATCAGCAGTAAGACATCTGCCCTAGTCATGGTACCAGAGAATGATCTACATGGGGAAACCGAGGCTTGGGGATTAAAACAACTTGCCTAAGGAAGCCCCTGGAATTGAACCCAGGCTGTCGGGTTCTGGAAGCCAGCCCATATCAAACTACCACACTGACCTGGGTGGTGTCACCCTCTGCACCTGGCCCTGGACAGACTGGCTGCCTCTAGGTGGTGCTCAGAATCTCAGGCCAGGATCTGGGGTCCTGCTTCCCTGAGCCCCAGAGGCTGGACTCAGGAGAAAGGAGCCCTGGGGTGCAGTGAGAACTGTCTTTGTGGCTGTAACTCCTTGGAGGGTGCCCGTGCCTCCCACCCTAGCTCCTAAACCCCCCTCACATCCAGAAAAAGTCCAAAGTTGCCAGGTCTCTGGTCTCTGGGCTAGATCTGCCTAGAACCCCCTCTCCTAGCTCAGGTCCAATCCCAGCTGACTCCTTATCTTCAAATGAAGGTCAAACCCCACCTCATTGGTCCAAGTGACAGAGTAATTGAGCACTTACAGACTGCAGGCCCTGCTTGGCAGGGGACAGGACAGAGGAAAGTCCCACCTTCCCCCACAGTGAGCTAGGATCCCTCCGGTTCCCCCTTCCTCCACATTAAACCAGAGCTTCTCAGCTCTTCCTCCAACCCATGCACCCTGGATTCTACCACTTCTCATCACATCCCTTATCTATACACTATGACTGCTCCTCCCTGTTTCTGGGCTCCCCACCCTCCATTCCCCATCAGCAACCAAAGGAAGCTTAAGCTGCAAGTCATATCAAGCTGTCTCCCTCCTTCAAATCCTCCCATGGTTTCTAATCACGCTTGGAATCAAATCCAAACACTTTTCAAGCACCCTCCCCACCCCTGCTCACCATGTGTCCCTTGCCCAGCTCCTCACTCTCCCTTTCATCATGGACACACAAGCCTGTGTCCACCACAGGGCCTTCACACTTGCCTGGGACACTCTTCTCCCACATCTTCCCATGGCTGGCTTCTACTCTTTGTGTCCTATGAGTTATGTGAGTCATATGAACAATTTTAAACTTACACAACACCATTCAGAGGGGCCCTTCCCTGACCACACCAGACCCTTAATACCAGTAGCACTTTATTTTCTTTGAAACATGGACCACTATCTGAAATCACCCTGCATGTTTCTGTTCTTGATCCATGTGTGTGTTCCTCTCTATGAGAGCAGGGACCTTATATACTTTGTTCACTGCTCTTCCAGAAGAGCCTGAAATAGCCTGACGTGCAAGAAATAAATACTCAGTAAATATTTACTGAAAGAGGAATGCCTGGGACCCTCTCTGGTTGGGATCCAAGATCAGTCTTTTCACAGCTCCTGTGATTTGGGTGCATGCTGAGGTTTAGAAACGGCTGGATAATGATCAGGCGAGGTGCAGAGGCTGGGCTGGGGAAGTGGTTGGGGGCTACCTACCCAGGAGGCCCGTTTCAGGCAGCCCAGCAAACCTCTGCATGACCTTGATCGCATCCCGCAGCTTTGCAGGGCTCTGCAGCTGGGCTTGGGCGGGGTGGGGCGGCGGCAGGTAGCCGTAGCGGGTCAGCCAGTCCTAGACCAAAGGAGCGAACAGGTGAGGTGGGAAGGGTGGGAGGGATGGGACGCTCCCCTCCCACCACCGTCGGGGAGGTGGCGTCCCCACCTCTCGCCAGGCACCCGGGGCCCCCCAGCCCCGAGTGCCCGCCTGCCGCTCCTCTCAAGGTCCCGGCCCTCCAGCCCCGGGTTTCCTCTGGACCCAACAGTCCTGGTCCCCACCTCCCCATCCCAGCCCCTTTCCAGATCCTCAGATCCGGGCCCCAGATCTGACGGGTCCAAGAATCCCGATGCCCAGACCCTGTGCGCAGGCACTTTGGACATCCTAACGAGCCGGCAGCCTCCCCCGGGCGGCGCCTGGGGACCCTGGCACTCACCACGCCCAGGCGCACGTCCTGCGCCGAGGGCTCCGGGGAGCACACGGGCGGCGGCAGCAGCGGGAGCACCAGCGCCAGGAGCCGGAGCATGGCGCGCTCCTCCAAGAAGCGGCGGGGCTCCGGGGGCCTGACCGGGCCGCCCTGGGCCCTGGGGAGGAGGGCCGGGCGCGGGGCGGGAGGGGCGGGCAGGAGGATGCGGCCGCGCCGGGGCCGGGGCCCTGGGAGGCAGGATGCGGGGGCACGGCGGCGTCCCACGGAGGAAGGCCGGGGCCTGCGGGGTGGGGACCCCGGGAGGGGCGAGGTCCGGACTCGCGCGCTGGGCAGCCTCTCGGTCCCGGGCCGGTGTGGCAGCCCCGCGCGGCGCGGGCGGCGCCCTCCCTCGAGGCGGGGCGGGGCGGGCGCACCGGATGAGCGGGGACTGCGCAGTGGGGCAGGCGGCGCGATTTTGGGGCGTCCCGCGGATCGGGGTGGGCCGGGCGCGGGGGCGAGAGCTCCAGTGCCGAGTTTCCCCTCCCAGAGCCCGGCTCGCTTCTGCTTTCCCGAGGCGCGCGCCCCGGCGGCCCTGCACGGGCTGCCCTCCCCCGCCTCCTTCCCGGAGTCCAGGCTCCCGGCAGCGCGGCGGGCGCCCCCTCCTCCGCGCGCGCCCCGCGCGCGCCCCCCAGGCGCGGGCTAGCGTCCGCCGCGCCCAGACCCCAGGGCTGCCGATCCCGCGGCCCCTCTGCCCCGGGCCGGGGAGGAGAGGCCGGAGGGTGTCCCGGAGCAGGTCCTGCGCCGGCGGGCGCAGGCCCAGAGGCCGGGCAGCTGGGGAAGGAGGGGGCGAGTGGCCTGGGGGCTCCCGGCGGGGCGGGGGGACAGCGCGCGTGGGCGCAACTGCGGGCCGGTGTGCCCGTAGACCAATAAACAGGGAGCAGGACTGGCGAGCGAGAGACGCAGACCAAAACCCTGATATCCGGCGAGTCTGGTCGGACTGCCGTAACCCAAGCCCTCGGGCCGGGCGCAGGAAACAGGACCTTTACTTTCTCACAGTTCTGGGGGCTGCGCGTCCAAGCTCCGGGTGCACGCAAAGTGGGCTGCGCCTTCCTTTCCCGTCCTCTCTCCCGGCGGGCAGGTGCCTCCTCCCCGCGAGCTCCTGCGGTCTCTCCTCGGTGCCCAGGCGCCCGTGCCTGTCCACACCGCCTCTCCTTACAAGGACACGGATGGGATTAGGGCCCACCATATCCTCTCTTCAAAGGCCCTGTCTTCGGACGCAGTCACATTCTGAGGACTGGGATAGGACTTCAACATATGGACGGTGGGGGGCACAGTTCAGCCCGCAACAGACCCTCTGTGTAATGAAAACCTTCACGCCTCCCCCTGGTGTCTCCTTTGCCAACACACACTGCCAGCCCCCCCTGACAGCACTTTTGATACCATGTGTGTGGGCCTTTCCCCCACCAGGCAATTCTCAGGGACTCCAGCGGGATGTCCTGCAATTCAACCCTATTCTGACACTAACTGGAGTTAGGGAAGACCCCCCAGGCTAAGGGCTCAGTCCCATGAAACCCCCCACTTCAGATGCCAATCACAAGCAGCAGGTCCCCAGGTCCCCCACCTCTGCTGACTTGGCTGCAAACTGCAGGCTTCCATCACCACCCCAAACCCCATTTGATTATTTGCTAGAACAGCTCACAGAACTGCGGGAAACATGTTTACCAGTTTATTATATAATAAAGGATATGATGAAGGATAAACAGCCAGATGAAGAGATAAGTCAGGCGAGATCCTGAAGGGTCCCCGGTGTTGGAGCCACTGTCCCTGGGGCGTTGGGGTCTCCCCGCCCTCCAGCACCCAGATGTGTCCACAGCCCAGATCTCTCCAGATCCCATCTTTGTGGGGTTGTTATGGAGGCTCTTCATTAGGCATGATCAGTCATTAACTCAATTTCTCTGCAGGACAGGAGGTGAGGCTGCAATGTCCAAGCTTGTCACCCAACCGTGTTGTTTCGGGTGAGCAGCCCCCATCCAAGAGCTCCTGAGGGGTCCAGCCAGCGTCACCTCATTAGAACAGAAGACACTGCTGTTGCCCAAGCAGTTCCGAGAGATTTAGGAGGCCTGTGGCAGGAACCAGGACTAAAGACCAACTAGACCAAAAGATGCTCCTAGTGCTCTTACCACTTAGGAAATTACAAGGGATGTAGGAGCTTTGTGCCAGGAACCAGGGGCAGAGGCCAATACGTATTTTTTCTTCTATTTTTCACATACCACCACCTGGTCTCTGGCCACAGGACCCCTTAGAGTAAAATGATATACGACTCAGAAGGCACTGGCACACGGCCGGGATGCCACACTGTCCTCGGCAGTCACAACAGCCATCACCATCCTATATGAAAATGCGTCCCGCAGGGAGGCCACTCAGGTCTGCATGTTCCTGGGTGTATTGGGATCCATCAGCAGGCATGGTCTCAGCAAATACATGTGTCGGCCTTTCAGGCAGCTGCTATGGTCAGGCTGAGGGACAATATACTCTCCTGCCCTGAGTAATACCAGATTTCCCCTATGACATAACTCATCTATTCATTACTCTTAGCTGCTACTCCTCCTTCTCTCCATTTTTGCCCAAACTCACCCACCTTTGGGACAATTAGGCTGGTCACTGTGGTGCTCTCGATTGCAGGCAGCATTACTATCTAGCAAGATCCTCTCCAGTCCACCCCGGTCCTTGTGGGGTGAATAGAGGGCTCTTTTACCACCAAGCAACATAGCTGCTTTCACTGTCATCCCCAGTGGTGTCGGGTGGTGCAGAGGCACCTCCCACTCCATCAGGCCCTCAGGAATTCAGACATAAGGTTTAAAATATAATTGCCATCTCCTGTTTAGAAATCATCGCCGCTTCAGGCACTTGTAGGTGCAGCCCTGTTCATGTAACCATTGCACCAGGTAGGAAAACAGAAGTTGACATGGGAAGAAAGAAAAAATAATACAGCCGCCATCCCAGCACCTCTCCAGCCCCAACAGAAACCAGAAAAATCGATCCAGTGGAGACGCCCCTCAGGCTCACTCACACTCGTGTGGAGAGTGAGCATGCAGCGCGGAGGTGTGGAGGGCGGCCCTCCAGGTCATTCTCTCCATGTTTCACAGGCAACGATTTCCAACGCCCCTTCTATCAACCAGTCCTGTGAGGAGACCTCTCTGCCCGTCGTTGGACATTATGGACTATAAAAGTGTGGTCCTTGGTCTGAAGAAATGACAACTGGCCATCCAGATTGGGGCAGTATCTTCTGTCCCGGTGTTTTATCTCATTCGGAGCACGTGCATCTACCACCAGGTCAGCAAAACCATCCAGCTTTAGTTCGTTCCTGTGGGGTCCACCTACATCCCCAGGGCCGCCCTTGGAGGTCTCGCCCCAACCCTGCTCAGGGCGTTGCCCCCAGGCAATCCATGGCCACCTGCACTCTCTCTTTTGCTGGCAGACAGAATAGCTCGTGTTGGCATTTTGAGCCTTCAGAGGCCGCAAGGGGGCCCATGTTTAGATTTAGCCCATCCCCTCATTGCTGAAGCCCCGCCATGTCCGTTCATTTTGTGGATGCAGGTTGCCACCTTAAGGGAGCACACGGGGATTTCTCCAGTCACCTCCCAAACCTGGAAGGGTGATCTCCTGCTGGGCACCCACATGTCCTACTTTATTTAATGCACTCCTCAGCTTCCCACAGCAATTGCCACGTACCCCATAGAAGTACCTCTTTAACAGGCCAGGTTTCCACTGCCCTCCTCCCCTGCCCTGGGTCTGTAGAAACCAAGTCCTATGGAATATGACCATTGTTCAGTTCTTGCATCACGGCAAGGAGAACAGCACCCAAGTCAGCCTGCCGAGCTGATCTGTTTTACCTTCTTCTTTCGATCAGAGTGGTAGCCTTCCAAACAGGATGCTGTCCAGACATTCACCTTGGAACTGCCATCCAAGTGGCTGACAAGCCACCAGCTCTTTGTTGGTCATTTGGAAGCTGCTTCCAGGGCACTGGCCAGGTGACAGTAGAACCCAGCAGCTCCTGGTGCAGTTCCAGAGCTGGTCCTAGAGAAAGGGGGGCACTCTCCTGGGCCCCTCCATGCATCCACCAAGTAGTGCGATACTATTTTCCTGTACAAACTGTTTCCATTTAGTATGGCACTCTGCTGGGCACTGCCATGCCCATTGAAGTGTTTTTCTGACATTACTCAAGATGCTCTGGATATTACAGGTTTCAAGATCATTTTATGTCCCTTAGTCATTAGGGTAGCTTGAATTTATGTCTGATAGCAAGGCAGTAAATTCCCCTAAAACGGAATTCTCCATCCAAAGCCCCATGGCCATCACTGGGAAGTGCTCACAGGCGTTTGCCAGTGTGCACTCCGTGTAGGGCTGGGGCACAAGAATCCAGCTTCGATTCCACACTGCATGGGCTTGGGAAGTCTTACACACCTTCCATGCTTCTGTTTGACTGTTTTAGGTACAGGATACAGTCCCCGGTCAGTCATGATGTCCATCCCCAAATACAAACAGGTAGCAGACAAAACAACCTTACTTAACACCTGTTCAAACATACCAGTTCTCCCACTCATGTCACCTTCATCCATCAGCCCTGACTTCCCTGTTAGGGCTTCATCCACAGGGGTCAGTGTTACAGTACGAGTAGGCGACGTGTCCCAGGATGACATCCTATCCACTCCTTGGAACATTAGGAGACACAACCCCTTTATAATTGAAGTATAGTTGACATACAATATCATATTGGTTTCCCATATACAACATAGGGATTCCAGCAATTATGTACGTTACAAAATGCTCACTGAGACTGATGTAGTTACCATCTGTCGCCATACAGAGGTATTACAGTGTCATTGACTATGCTCGCCATGCTGTACCTTCCATCTCCGCGACTTACTTATTTTATAACTGGAAGCCTGTACCTCTTTATCCCCTTCACCTATAGGAGACACAACTTCTCTACATAATGCCTGTAAACATTTCAACTTTCATAACCTTATTGACACTTACACTTCTTTGTTCTCTCAATCTAACTTTCGCATGAGTCAAGACTTCACAGGTGGGTTTTGGCACTGCAGTGCATGGGGCTCCTGTGTCCTGTGTCAGGGAGTGCTGGGCACTTCTCTTCTTCACTCCCTGACCATTTCACCCATGCTTGTGCAAAGGGCGTTGGATCTGAGGGGACTCTGGGAAGAGGGAGGAGGAAGCACCAGGAATTGGTCTCTCCGGCGGGATCTGTCTGAAGGAACTCTGAAGGCATACACCTTCCATGGGGACGCTGGGCAGCAAACTGTGGCCAATTTCAGCTCTGAGCACAGCAGCAGCTACCCAGCCCTCAGCTCCACAGCAGGCAGCTGCACCCCTGTTCCTGGCATGGCTTGCACACGGCTTGTGGGAAGTAGGATGGGCAAAAGGGACTCTGTCCTCCAAGAATCAGAATCTCTGCTCTGACGGCTGCTGCTGCGTCTCATCACAGAGGTGCAGACAAAGAGGCGGGCAGCGTGGTTGAAGTGAGTCCAGGGGATTTGAGAGGCCCCTGCCCTTTTTCCATTAATTTTTCACTTTCCCCCTTTTAGAAGCCAGATATTAAAAGCTAGAACATTCA